TCCTGATAAAGAAATTGAAAGCAAAGAGTAGTGAGCTCTCCCTTTATCCATATATCCAGAATGATTCACATACACTGCTACCCATTTGCCCTACCAAAAAATCTTCTCCCAAAAGAAAAACTTGTGAATTTCAAGTGAAAAAGAAATGAAATGTAGAAAAATATTGTTATCCCATCACTTTTCCATTTTAAAATATACCATCTTGAACAGAAAAACAGTGCTACTTGTCTGCTGACAACTGGTAGATGAAGGAGACTCATTCCCTATTGCTGGCTGCCAGTTTCTTTTCCAGTTTCAATTCCAGAGTGGATCTTCAATATTTAAAGTCAGAAGTCTTCAGAATGGAACGTGAGTGTCAGATTCCTAGAAATAAACACACAATTTCAGCAACTTCTGCCAAGCCAGAGTACAAGAGGGACAATTATTTCAGTGTTAAAAAAAAATTCTTCAAGTTCAATCCTCTAAGAATAACAAGACAAAAGGATAATGTATCAATAAGGAGTAATATCCCACAAGTAAACCTTTTCCAGGAAAATGGTAGTGAAAGGCCCAGCATCCACGCCTAAATTCTGGCAGAAGAGGCAAGAAGCACCCCCTCAGAATGTGTTTCTGTTGTCAATGCTGTCCCTCATTCCCAGCCACAATAGTCAGAGTGGTCCTGGCTACTCCCCAAGTCATATTTCCAATAAGGTTCTCCAAGTATATTAAAGTTCAGCAATTATTATGAATCCCTGGACTTCTGTCACTCTCCCTGAATTATACTAGGTTGAGGAGGCACTCTGAAATTCTGAGATCTTCTATTTGCTCCTCCCAAAATTTCAAACTACAGCTTCCAGTCTAGTGAGACTTCATGGGGCTCCCAAGCAAATCAGGGACAGGGCTAAAAAAGAAAACTAGAGCTTGTTAAGAACAGTAGGGGCTCTATATACATATTCAGAAAGCACAATCTTATACTATTTAAAACTATCTATTTATAAAGTCTTCATGGATCTTTAAATATGAGAGGCACTTCAAAAATTAGCTTGATTTACAGACATTGTTTATCACATGACTAATCACGCAGCATCAGAAAATCAAACCAATAACCATTAGCAAGTACATAGTTAACTATCAGTTTAACCATTAGTTTTAAAAGCAGGAGACAGCTGTATTTTGACTCAGTGCTTGGAAGTTCACTGCAGTCACAGCAGAGGAATCAGGCATTAAAATGGCAGGCAAGGCAAAACCCTTTTTTCCCCCAGATCGTTTCAAGAAGGCTTAACCTACCATAGTGTTATTGCATATAGCAAGAAACATGAGGAGTTTTTAAATTATTTTCCATAGAAGCAAATCTGCTAGTAGGTCTACAGCAGTCCCATAAGTCTCATGATGCATGACAGTGTGAGACAGTCCTGTGTCACTGACCCACGTGCATCCCTGCAGGGGCGTATTCACCCTGGTGATTTACACATATGGAATCACTATCATTTGAAACAGATTTGTGATTTATTAATGCAATATATACACATCCAGCTTTGGGAAAATGAATCTTCTTTCCTAATCCAACATAAACGCTTGCTGTTGTGGTAAATAGAAACATCTCTAATATACAACCAGCATCAGCTAAACACGGCTAATGAAAGGATATAAAGCGAGCTCTATGCTTTAATGGCTATTACTATTAGCGCTGCTGGGAGGACCCGAGGCCACACTGCGGGCACAGCCTAAGAGGCTTTCGGCTCAGCACGGCGCACTCAGCCGAGCGTGTGAAACCCTGCCCGCTGCTTCGGGGCGAGCAGCGGCCCCGCCGCGCCCAGCGCGGCTCCACAGGTCCCGCTCGGCGCCGGCGGCGGGGCTGCGCCTCTCGGCGGTACCGGGGCCGGCAGGGATGCAGCCCCTCCTGCGGGTACCGCAGCCCCGTTCTCCAGCACTGCAGAGACCACCGGGCCCTCGAGGCCCCGGTGCCCGGCCTGGGCGGCGGCAGCGGAGCGGAGGAGGGAGGGCTGCTCCCGCCGCGCTCCGCAGCGGCCCCGGCCCGGCCCTTACCGATGCACCGCACGTAGTGTTTTGCAGGAAGTTTCCACGCTCCTGGGTTTAATCCGTGAAAAGCGGGGCTGGAGAGGAGCGCGGCTGAATAGCGATGGAAAGGGGCGGGCGAAGAGGTGGAGGAGGAGGCGGTAGCACCAGCGGCCGTGTTTAATTTTTTAATTAGGGCGGCTTGAGCATCTCCCGGCGGGGTCGCATCGCCGGGCGGCGAGGGGAGCCCGGGCGAGCTGCCCCCGCCGCCCGGGAGCGGGGCACCCGGGACCCCCCCGTGCCCCGAGCCGTCGGGACTCGAGCCTGGACTTTGCAGAGCCGGCGCGGCGGGCCGGAGGCGCGGCCAGCTCCGCGCTCCGCCACCATGGGCAGCGCGGGCGCGCAGGACAAGGGTTCGTAGCGGGCGGCGCGGCGGGGCCGGCGGGCGGGGCGCGGGGCTGACCTTGCGGGGCCGCCCGGCCCGGCCCGGCCCGGCCGCACTCCGGCGGGGCAGGAGGGACGGAGGGAGGCAGCCGGGGCGGCGGGGGGAGCGGGGCAGGGTAAGCGCCGAAATCTGCCTTCCCCGGGGCAGCGGGGCCGCTGAAAGCGAAGGCTGGGCGCGCCATCCATCCTACAGCAACAATTGCTTTGCAGGTGCTCGGTCTGTCTCAGCCTCCATCCCCTGGGAAGCAGGCAACACTTTTCCACATTCCCAAGTTAAGGATGATGCTAGTAAACGTTTCATTTTCCTGCATCTCTATATTACTCAAATCTAGACCACGTATATGAATTCACAGCACAGAAGCTCTCATCCAATGAAGAATCCAGGCTCATATATTTGCTACAGATAAAATCTCATTTTGGCAATTCATTCCCTGTTGGAAGGCTGGAAGTGTCACAGCTCGGCTGCTGCTTCTTTGCAGGGGAATGCTGTTTATGTGGAAAAGTGTTGCTTGCACCCAGACATGCTGCAAAAACACTGTGTGGGGCTCTCTTTGCAGAGCTGCAAGCCATGCCTTCATTTGCTGAGCATCCATGCCATGGCCTTCCTACTTTCACCTCCCTGAATGTCTCAGAACCCATACCCTGAAGATACAGTGCTCTCCCCAGCAATTTAGAGAATACAAGCATGCAGTGAGCACATGAGTATGACAAGTCAGCTGTGTGGTCACAGTGCTCCTTTTGCAGCATTTCTGCACATGTGTTATTAACTCAGGTAGCTCAGACTCTTCAGAGATTTTCATATTCATGCTGATTTATATTTCTAGTCTATTTTATAGGACTTCTTCATTGTTAATAATTTTTTCTTACCACCTTCTATGACCAATTTCTGTAATAGCATTTCTGCAATACAGTTTTGTTTCCCTGAACAGATAGCTAAGGGCAAATGAGGTGCTTCCAAAGCTCCCAGAGAATGCTTGTTTATATGTCCCTTTCCAAGTTAGGTCTGCTGTTATTCAAGCACAAGCTCAGGACTGAAGCTATTCAAAGTACTTTCAGAATAACCACATCCATGAACAAGCAGTTGGGCTGTAGACATCCAAGAAGAGAACAGATGGCCACTAATGTGGTCAATTTTGTTCCAAACTGTCATTTAGGAAGTGAGGGTTTAGGCACCTGAGGCTTTTTCATGCCAAGAGGATGAATATTCCCAGCTTGAGATGGTGTAAAGATACCAGTTTCCTGAATACTGAGCCACTAGAAAAAATCCTGTAGGGGGTTCTGTGAGAGAAGGACTGAAACCCAGAACCCCAGGAAGATTATCCTGGTTATTTTCTTGATCTTCTCAAGTCTCTCTGTAAACCTGAGAGTAAAGGTCTGGAAAAAATGACACCCTGTCACCCCAAACCACCAAATAGCTGAGGCTGGGATCTTCACACAAAATACTGGTAGAATTGAGGTGGTGATTCTGCTAGAATAAGAATTTCAACATCTTCCTTCCAGCTGCCTCACAAAACCTAGTGCCCATGGTGTTCCCCTTCGTCCCCCCACAGGTGCAGCCAGCACCCCCAGCTCATACCTCTGTTTTTCTCAGCTCAGTATTAAGCTGTTTTCCTCATTCCTATTTTCTTGAGGATTCAGATTGTTTCTTCTGGCCTCAGAAGGACTTCCAGTGGCCTTTTATTTCACAGTAGGATGTTAAGAAGCCTTTCTTTTTGCCAGTGTCTATATGGGTAATGAATCAAAGGAGGAGAAGAATTCTCACCTGTAAAAAAAAGATCAAGCTCTGTCTAGGGCTAGCCCATAAGTCTAGCTTTGCAGATTATAAATGATACAATGCCTGTCCCCACGATGCTGTCCTAAAGGCTATCTTGGAGGATTTTGGGATCCAGGCCAGGTTAGTTAGCATGCAGTGTCTTCTGACTCAGGACTTTGACAGATACACTGCAGCAAATGAAAAGGTGTCTGACTGACTGGGAGAGGACATCTAACCTGTGTGCAGCACTGAAATGTGAAAGCAACAAAAGGTACTCAAGGTACCACGGGTTTGGGGATAAATAATTTGAACAAAATTTCCTGTGAACTTTAGGGCTTCAATTACAGTTTCTGAAATTCAGGACAAGGAACAGAAGAACACAAAGCTGCACATTAGAGTTTCCCAGAACCAATCCCCCCCAGGCAAAATACACAGTTTTCTCATGCAGCTTTTTCAGGCAAACTATTGTTAAATAAGACTGAGATATCAATTTCTGCACATTTCAGCATCAATCAAGCTTTGCACAGAGATTTGTCCCATAATGTCTCCTGACAAGCACATAATGTACAAACAAATCTCATCTAATTCCAGTGTGTAAGCTGCAAAATTACTAGGACTGGAAGTCATATTCTTGGAAAATTACTTTGTGGTGAAGTAATGTTATGTCAAACACAAACCTATTTGTCTGGACTCAGCTCAAATTCAGGGTTCTCCATGGCCAGCCTACCCCTGACGTTCTTCTCAACATCTTTCAAGAGAGCAACTGGGATTTTTGGGTCTGGCTTTTCCAACCAGTGACTAGGTATAATTTTCCTGTATAAGACTTTTTAATTTTTATAACCCATTACTCTAGAACTTCTGGAAAGTATTTTTTTTCCTTGACTGGCTTTTGTTCAAATCAACTGACTTCTAACATAAATTTGTGGTATTGAACTTTCTGTAATTTTTTTTTTCCTGCAGAAGGTCAAATTAATTAGAAAAATTGGAAGTATGCCAAATGAAAATTCATATAGCAGGTGGGCTTTACCTATGATGTATTTTCAGAAAATAATGGTTGTTGACATTATTTCTAATTCCTATAGGCTGTATCTGGATCTTTCTTCCAGCTTAACAGGAATTGAAACAGCATGACTCAAAGAGCAGAATATAATTCAAAACAAGGAAAGATCTCATACAAAGGTCTACAGAATAAACAGGACATTGGTTGTTATGCTCTGGTAAATTTGTAAAGATTAACAGGAAACATTTAATATCTACTATACTGAGCTTTATTGGAAAAAAAAAAGACATACTTGTGTTTTGCCCTTTTGCTCTTTGTTCTAAAATTTTTGTTCTTTAGGATAACAGTCAAAAAACCCACAAATTTTGAAGTGAGAAAGGAGACATCAAACAAGATAAAAGTTCTGTCCATTTCTGTCTGCTCAGGAATACCTAAAGTTATTTTTACTTTTTCTGCTGTTTTCACCTGTAGGCTGACTCAGAGTATGGCTCCTCTCAGCCATGGCTGCAGTACAGAGCACAGACATTGGAACTCCCTTTAACCTGGCTGAGCAGTGCAGGCACCTGAAGCAGTGTAGCCATGGCAGCACAGAGCTCTGAGTGGCCTAATTACTCTGCCAAGAAATAAATGAATACTGGCAATTCCCTGGGGAAAAAGAGGTTGAATTGTTAATAAAAAGAGTCTTCCCTGAGGCACATTCGTTAAATAGGTGTTAGCAAGAGCCAGAAAGCCTCCAGTTCTAACCTTACAATAAAAATGTCTTTGTCCTTTGGCACTTTTGATGTCCCAGCCTTCCAATTCTCCCACTGTCTAGAGATACAAAAGAAAGATGTGATTGCAATATCTGATGGAAAATGTGAAATAAAGCAAATTATCCTCACCCCCAACTAAAATCTATAGGTAAAATCACCTTAAAAAGACAAATACAGGAAGTTTCTCCTTTCTGGAAACATGCAGAGCTCTCCTGGCAGCAATGGGGTGGAGTTGCTTGAGCATCCTGCTTCTCTAGGACACACGTCAGGGTCAGCCCCCGAGGAGCAGGGGCACATCTCCTGTTTACTGTGCCTGTGAAAATGGCAGGATGTGTATGGGGAAGACTAAGGTGAAGAAACAAATGAAAGCAAGATTTAGGGGAAGGGAATTTAATTCTGTTATCTCTTCTTCCACCAATCTTTACTCATACACAAGAATGGACGGGTATAGAGAAAGGTGAAGGGATTTTAGCAATCTGCTCACTTTCTTACAAGCTCAAAATACACCCAGCATTTTTTTCTGAAACTGGAGCCCAAGATTTCAGACTGTGCACACACAGTCTTTTGTTTCACAAGTTGGATCTATCTACGTAGATTCTGAGCTAAATCAAATGAGTAAAATCCACACTATTTAACTGAGATTGCCTTTGAGGTCAATGCAAGTTTAACTAGTTTAAGCACACAGATGTAAAGCCATTTCAGGAAACATACTGGCTTTCTGCATGTGGAGACCTTAGAGAGTTTTGCCAAATCACAATCTGTAGACTTGTGCCCAGTCTGACAAAATGCTGTTTGCAACAACTGAAATTTCTGTTTTGAGGAGACAGAAAGCAGGAAAATTGTGAGTCTGCTGTCTCAAAACAGAGGCCAGTAAGTGAATGGTGTGTAGAGGCTAATAGTTGCAATTTTATCACATTAATTTGTATGTGAAAAAACAACAGGACACTTCTAAAATCCAAGCTGGTTTTCATTTTCAAATGTTCATATGTTACAGCTCAGATGCATGCACCCCATTTAGAGCTAACCATACTGATTTGATATTTCTATGCAGGCAAAGAAGCAATAGAGGTGAAAATCCCACAGAGCCACCAGGATGTGATGCCCAAGGATGAGCAGTAATTACTGCAGCAACACTTCAGCCAGTATGAGTGTCAACGAAATGTCTGCCTTCCCTCTGACTTTGGAACAAAAAACTGGCTTTGCCTTTGTGGGGATTTTGTGTGTTTTCTTGGGACTTCTAATTATCAGATGCTTCAAAATCTTGCTAGACCCCTACAGCAGTATGCCTTCTTCCACGTGGGAAGATGAAGTTGAGGGGTTGGATAAAGGAACATTTGAATATGCTCTTGCATGAAAACTCACAGAATATCCTGCCTTAAATTTGATGTTGATTTCATTTTGGAAACCAACTGTTGTTACATTTGTTATACATACCTGCATTTTGGAGATATGTTGGTGGCATCCATTTTGTTAAATAAATATTTGTTGCAAACTCAAAAGGTACTTCATGTTGCTTTTATTTGATCAACAGTGGAATGGTAGACAAAAAATGGCTAATAGCAAAAAAATACCAAAAAATCACTAGAAAGTTACCATGGCCAGTATTTAAAGAATCAGATGAAATCTGGCTCTTCAGAGGAAGATCTCACATCTACTGTGTCTCATGACAGGCTGAAGAAAAAGACAGGCTCATGAATGGTGAATGTTTAAGTGGTAGCCCCCTGCCCTCCTCATTCAACACAATTTTCTGAAACTCAGTGTCTATACATGTACACTGAGGATACAAAAGGGGAGGACAACAAATGGTTGTGGCTTAGATGAGGTGCCTGTCCATGTTTGTATTCCACTTGGTTACAGAATATGATTCACTTTAAAGTGGAACTTAAACTGTCTGGTTAACAGCTCCCAGCAGTAAATACACCAATTAGGCCAAAGCAGACACAATCATGCTGCTTACCCATTTTTACCCAGCCCTCAAGGAGGGATGGGGTCCAGAGCTCTGTACACTCCAGCACTCTCCACAGCTGGTTCTCCTCCTTGTGCTCCAGCAGTTGTGCACAGTGTATGATCTGGACTGTTACTGATGAACTGGTCATGGGAGATCCTATCAAAGCAGAAGTGGAAGAGTAAAAGCAGAGATTCAAATCTGGATATTCAAGGTCACCCTCATACACACAGCTGTTTAGCAAGTGTGACAGTACTTGACAGAAATTCAATTCCGTTTTTAAGAAGGCTGGCATTAGAATTTTAGGCACTGTCACTTTTGCTAAACAGATCTGTTTGCAATGAGGAGCTGAGACAAGGAGATCAGTTACAGCAGTTGTTTTCTTTTTCCTGTATTCTGAAAAATACATATTATTCCTTTTGCCCTATATCCTAGGCAGAGGCAGACAGTGGAACAGCAGAGCTCAAGTGCCATTTGGAACATAAAATACTCGATTGTACAGGGAAGGACATTAATCTCCTGTCTGAAAAATACAAGAGATGAACAGCCAATATTAATCTACACTGGTCCATTTAAATTACAAAACATAAACAATTTTTTGAATGTAAGGGCTTTCAACTGCTTCAGATTATACACAAGAAAAAAATCCAGACCCTCAGAGACTCAGTATATTGCATTTATCCTAGTCAATTTAGCCATAAAATCCAAGGTAGATATCAGTACAATGATTCATGTGATCTGTTATTGCTGGATAGGATCATCCACTGCAGAGACCTGACACTGCCATTCTTTTAATGTACATCTAATCAGCACAGCTGAGCTCTGGGCTGTCAGGTTAGAGTGCTGAAGGTACTTAAGCTATCTGGGTTAAATATAGTTCAGTTATCTCTAAACTATACAGCAAACACTGCAAACATATCCAAAGAACCCCAATATTGTCTTATTATTTTTGTTCTTGACCCAATCTATTGCTGGAAGCAAATTATCTAATTCCCTTCTAATCGCAAAGCTTCATAATTTCCTGCCTGCTCTTTTCATCATTCCAAAGAGACTAGGAAGTCAGCCTTCCCAGACACAATACAGAGAACAGAATTTTTCAAAGGCTTATTGAACATACAGAGTAAAACTTTAAATAGGGTCAGGAGTAAATGGTTTAAAACTGCATGTAGGACAAGAGGACCCCAAAAGAATGATCCCACTGACTTCACTGAATCTTCTGCATAAGCACTGAGCAGATCCTGTCCTGAACTCCTGTTATCTGCATGACTATATATGCAGAACTGAAAGACAGAGTATGATCTGTGCAGAATCAGGCATAGTGGGGAGGGAAATGGAGATAACAAAAGTATTTTCGGGCCCCCTCAGAAATTTCGCAATGCCATAAACCCAGTAATTGTAATGGATAGGTACATTTGCTGGTTAAAAGTTAACAAGCTAGAATGCCTTTCTAAATCACCATCTAGAAATGTTTTGAAAGAGAGGGATTGGATGGCCTACTCAGTATATTAAACAGGAGAAAAATCTGGCCAATAAGGCAGAGTCTGCAATGCCTCAAAGAGAGGGTCACACTATATGCATGAATAAAAGAGGCAGATTGTCCTTCCCTAAAAACACAGGATTGAATGGTAAGTTGAATTACCCTGAATAAGGTAGCCTTGATTATATATGCATAATGCTGGAAAACTAAACAGTTAATGACAAATCAGAGCTCTCTGGAAATAAATTGTGAAAACCTAAGTATTATTTTCAAGAACAGCAGAAAGGTAAGAGATTTTACTTTTCCTAGCAAAACAATAATATGGTAATAAGACAATGAAATGACAGAATCATTTTACTTGGTAGCAAATGTTTCATTGTCATCAAAGAATCAGGATTTCATTCAGTCACAGAGATGGAAACAAATATTTTCACTGACCTCAGTGACAGAGGATTTGTCTTTGCTCCTTCATGCCTGAAGATGAAACACTTTCTTGCAACTTTAAAAGGCTGAAGGAAGCCGAATACCATGATCATAAATGTGTAATAATAATAATAACAATAATAATACAAAGCCAATAGAAGTAAAATAAACTAAATAAATGTAATATGTTGCTGTGAGGCTTATACAACATTAAGCAGGAAAACTAACATAAATATGAGGAGTGACAAAGTGGTGTCTTAGCAGAGAGGTGACAGCAGAATATTACCTATAGCTGATGGAAGAAATAAGAAAATATGCTTTAGCTGTAACTCATACTGAAGATGGAAGATATCTGATTATCAGCTCTTCAAATTATAATTTGGATATGTGATTTTAGAGAAAATTTACGGTGCTAAGCTATAAATATTGATGTCATATTTTATCTTTCCGTGCCAAAGGTCCAAGTCATTGAGAAATTTAAATTGAAAAATTCTTACCAGTTCATCTAGTCCAACCTCTTGCAAAAATATGGAACTTTAAAAAAATGTCTGCAATGGGCCTATTTATCCAGATTTTCAGGTCATATATTTGTTTATAAGATACATTTTGTTTCTAAAACTTTCTGCTTTTACAAATGCTTTCAAAGTTTCAATGTCTAAGCATGCTCTGGTTTTGAACAAGCTGGGCTCCTCCTGAATTATACAGGTCTATACAATCACATTCCCTAATCCCCTTAGAAATATGTTTCAAGACAAATGATTGCCATCATTTCAATAGCTCATTTCAGAGCTTTCTAAGCCATACTTCAAATTGCTGCAAAGGTACTTAACCCACTAAAGGCCCTAAATATACATACCCTTTCTTCTCTTGGAGTTTTTGTTTGCTTCTGTATTTTCATTGAGGAGAACTGTGTGGGAAAGAGGAGGTGAGAAGCAGATTATGCAGCTGTGTGTTCACCTCTCCACGGGCTGCCACTCAGGGGGACCTAGACAGGCCAGAGGAATGGGCCAGCAGGAATCTCATGACATTCAACAAGGACAAATGCAAATCCTGTACCTCAAACAGATTTTAACATTTGCACCATAGAGGGAGCAACCCTCCTGGAAGGGATTGGGGGAGCAGGCTACAGAGGAGTGAGCCCCACACTATCCATGTGTTAATAGAATGATCATGTTCCAAGCTTGTGTACATGGATTCTCACCATGCCACCCTGCTCTTTCATGGGTTTTCATAAAACAGATTGAAACTAGAGGTGTTCTTGGCCCATTTACAGCTCAGGCCTTTACCTCCTCTGGAGCTTGGTTTGGTTAGAGGGTCAACTGCATCCATCACAGATGGAACATCTCCACAAGCTCTGTGTTGGCTTCAACTATGTTTTTACTCAACAAGTCATAGGATGACAGTCTCAGGGATGCATGGTGAGAGCTTGTGGTGGAAAACTTATCTAACCATGCAAGATAATAGAAATAGTTTATTTGTATCTTTTATAGCAGTAAACCTGCAGCCAACATCAGGAAGACTGCTTAGAGATTCAAGAGAAAATTCCCAGCCCTTCATTATTTGAGAAGCAAAGGTCTGATATGCAACAGCACTAAACCTTTGCTGTATCTGCAACTGTGTGGCTGCAGCCACAGAAGAGTCAGGGATCAGTGACCTAAGTCTGTGGCACCCCTGAAGATGTCAATGAACAACGCACCAAACGTTTTCTTGGATCCAAATGCAAATCGCTTTCAAGTTAACATCATTAATGAAGACCATGACAACAATGAAACAACCCAAGAGGATGTGGGCTCTGACCCACCACATTATGAAGAAACATCTTTTACTGATGAAAAACACAACAGACTAAGAATCAGTTACAGACCAGGAAAAAGAGAATTATATGACAATTTCCGTCAAAATGGGGAGAAAACAGAAGCTAGCTTACACCCCTATGATACTCACAGTAAAATGTATTATCTACAAACTTTTGGCCATAACACAATGGACCCAGTTCCCAAAATTGATTATTATAGAAACACTGGCAGCGTCAGTGGGAATAAGCTCAACAGACCAAGCTTATTAGAAATTCATGAACAACTGGCAAAGGTAAGTGAAAAGGAAAGATATAATTTTTCTTTATTCCATTTCCAGACTGTTAATTCTGTTTATTAATAAGAGAAAGTCCTTAAATTCACGGACCTTGCCCAAGAGAAGAAGTGCAAGTAACTACTTACCATATTTCCTTTGCTAGCTGCAGTTTGTTCTCTGCTCTGCACCCTGCTCAAAGAAAAGATGTTTATTAAAAGGTATTTGTAATGTACTTGATAAGCAGAAACACATAGCTTAATCTTGTCTAAAAGTATGGATCTACCAAATCTCTTCTGTTTCACATAAGAGTTAGGATGGCAGATGGTGAATGTCAATTCATACTTTAACCAAGCTACACAATTCACACTTATTCTGAACTTGAATTTTACATCAATGCATACTAATTTTGACAGATTCCTCCATTTTACTCATTAACCAATATAAGCATTGTAAAAAAAATTATGTGAAACAAATGCAATTTCAGTGAATCAGATATCCAGAGCACTACCTGCTTGTTGCTGTGACAAATCCAAACAGAAAGAAGGAATCAAGAACAAGGGTATTGAGGGATAGCAGACAACACTTCTCAGGTGCTGATTCAGTGAAAAAATTTGAGGTTAATATGCACTTATCAGGGCAGGGCTGGAAAGAGAAATACCATTGCTATAGTTAAACTGAGACTAAAAGTGTCAATATGCAGCAAAACCTCCTGTTCTTTTTTTGAGTTAGACAATTGTGAAATGAGAAAACTTGAGCAAAAAACAAGCTCTCATCCCCATTCTGCTCAGTTCTTCATACTTTTGAGGTCTGAATGCTGGTTTTTGAATGCTTGCCCAGATCTTGTTCAGACTTCTGTTCTCTGGCGATTCCTCTTTCCTATGGAGGTTAATATAAAGTAATGAAATCAAGAAAAAATACAGACATCAGTAAAATAGGACCTGATTCTTTAGGATCTTATTAGGGCAGTTTCCTAGTTTTGACCTGACTTATTCAAATTAAGCTGTCCATAGACCTGTGTAAAATGGCTTAAAAGGACAAACATTTCCAAAGATGAAAACAAAGCAGATACAAAAAGGGGAACATACCAATTTAGTATCCCTACTCATTTGCAGATGTACAAACTGCTACTGAAAGGACTAAACACATTTCCATGCTCAGAAGAAATATCCTTTTATAGAAATAATTTACTTCAGTAGTGGCCAGATAGGAGTAAAATTGTATATTGGCTTTGAACATAATGCTGAATTAACATGTACTGAACATCAGCACATTAAAGGATTTTCAGTTTTGATGGTAACCAGAAAATTCTGGGAGTTTTACTGTTGTATCTCTCAATAGTTTGTATATTTTAAACAAAAGATAATTTTTAGGGTTTTTTTTAAGGCTTCCTCTTAAAGATAATTAAAAAGAAGGCAGATTACACCACAAAGTAAAATGAAGAGAAAATTGTTTCACGTATTGGGACTGTTAGAAGAAAAGAGAAAAAAGCATAACCTAACTTAGGGATTTCCAGACTTTTTCCACTATCCAGTATGCATCTTACAGAAAGATAATCTTATGTCTTTCAAAACAGGAAGGTGAATGTCATAGGTAATGGGATTTTTGTTACACTGGCAACCTGCTGTGCCCTTTTGTGGGTTGTGGCCCAGGTCTGGGAGCACAAGCACAGCTCTGGAACAAATGATGCCCCATTAGCATGGCTGGAGCCCATTCCTGCCTGTCCCATGATCTCACTTGGTGACCTTGGACAAATCACTTCTGTCTGCTGAGCTTTTGCTGAGGAATAAACAAGCACGAGGTCACCAAACAGGAGCTTAGTAGGAAGGGGAATTGGGCTGTGTGGGAAGGCAGAGCGCCTCTCAGGAGGCACAGGCTGTGCGGGCTCTGGATGGGGCTCCAGCCCCCGGCAGGGAGGGAGGGGGTGCCACACTGAGCGTGGACAGGAGCCACAGTGATAGCCCAAGCTGCACTCCTGAAGCAGATGCTTTATCCCTTTTTTACTTAACCACTAAAGTCTGGGTTTACCACACCATACCCCAAGGCAATCCCACCCCCCTTTGCCCCCGATTTGGAACTCAAGTTTTTGAAGACAACTGTTCTGTCAGAGCCTGTTGTGAGATTCTGATAAGAAGTGGCATATGTTTGACTTCAGATTGCTAAACATCACATAAGCATTCCCATTGTGCTTTGATGCTGGGCTTAACATCAGAATATAAATATTAAATACATTTTTTAATATGTAATTTTTCAAATGTCAGAATGTCAGACAGGCTGAAAGGAACTTAAAATATCTAGTTTCCACACTGCTGGAGTCAAATGTGTGTCATCTTTTAGCAAGATGTGTCAGTTTTTGCACACATTAAGCCAATTAAATTCCTAAAAAATAGTCTAAGTGCTATTTCACAGCTGATGGCTGGTGATAATTACTTGGGCTTAATATTTACCCTACATAAAAAAATAATCTAACCTTTCTTCCTCTTGGCTATTCTCCACACTTGTTATGGAGATTTGATGAGCTCATCATCTTCAGCCCCAGGAGAGATGAAGACTAAGCCATTCTGAAACAAGGAAAGGAAAATGTTTGGGTTAGGGTTTTTTGGGGGGATTTTTAAAGCAGAAAACTTTTTATTTTAGTAGCTTTTCAAAATGTTCTGTCACTTTTATTCCACATCCTTAATGCATGAGTAGCACAGGTACAGCTGCTTGGTAAATAACCAATCATTCACTAAAGCACACCAATTTAAAATGCATTTATGGAAGGTTTAAGGCCATAATTTATGATAATGGCATAGAGAGCACAAATTAATTCAAACTACAGAGGAAACAACTTGTTTCAAGTACAAAGACCAAGCCCTTTTAATTTTTTGTCTTTGAAATTCTAACCACTGTAGCAAAAGCCTGTCATATTATTCTGCTAATCTTCCTTCATTGACTTCAATCATTTACTGTATTTTGAGCAAACACAGACATTATTATTTCAGAGTAAGAATTGTCAAAATTATCTAAGTATCTCAAAGGAGCTCAAAGTCACAGGCTTCCAACAGATTTTGTATTCCCACTCTTTGGGCCAGAAGGGCAATAGACACCAAGCTTAGCCCATGTCAAAACATATTATCCAGTCACTTATTTTTCATTTGTGAGCACAGTCTGGGATTTACTGTGTCAAAGGCATTCTAAAACCTTCTATCATTTTGGCTAGAGCCTCCTCCTTGAGGGCCAACTCCTGACATCTAAAAGCCAACTACAGACATTATGTATAAGAGGCATATACAGCTGGTCTTTATGTCTGTTTTGGGTTTGTGTGTTAGCTATTTTTAAATTTATGGACAAAATATAGAAACAATCTTAAAGTTAACCAAGATTTAAAATCTCATGTTTCCCAGAATCACAGATATCTTTCCTCCTGACCTGCTAAGTTAATCTGAAAATCTCTTCATCACCTACCAAAGCCTAAAAGCATCTTGATTACTCTCCAGGAGTGGTACCCACTCCTGACTCTCTGCCAGACTATGGCAATGTGCAGGGTCCTTCCTGAAGGCCTTTGAGGAAGACCCACAAAAATCAGGCAATTGCTAACCTAATGCAAATTTCTCACAGAAACAGTGGGTGCTCTGAATAAAAAAATCAAATTAAATTAAAAGACAATTACAAGAAGTACAAATCTCAGCACCACGACCAATTCCTATTCAAGCTAAAAGAAATACATATAACATATCAAAGATTCTGAGGCAAGAGAGCTGAGGAGATAAAATACATATTTATATCTGTAACTGATGTGAACAATCTAAAATTCTGGGCTCCTCACTCTTGTTGCACCATAAATATGGCATTTCCTAATCTACTATGGTAACACCAGTTGTGGCTAAGCCACAGAAAAGATTATTCAATTTCTACATTTCACTGGCATTTCTCTAATTGTTTTCAGGAATATGTTACCCATGTGCTGCTGCAGTTATGTTTGTACTTCATTCAACAGGAAACACTAGATTTCATCACAGAATTTAGCCAAGCTGCACTCAGTTAGGTCTCTTTTCACTGTTTGCAATTATCCCCATTTCTACACTTAGCATTATTCCTACACTGGTGCTAGAGCATGCAGAGGCCAACCACAAGACCCTCATTATGTTAGACACTCTACAAACATGCCAACAAAACATATATGTGGAATAGCTTACAATAAAAACAGGTTAGTATCAGATCAGGTAATAATGTATTTACTCTGCTTAAGTGATTCTTTCATCTCCTCCTCTTGTCAGCAAGCCCACCTGCTGATGCCTGGTGTAAGCAGAATATTGCTCTCTACTCCAGTGACTGTAAAATAGGATCTTTGGAATTCTTTTCTATCATGTCTTCCTCTGCCTGGCCCAGAGATGTATTTGTTTTCTGTGTGATCCTCCAGAACATTGCTGTGAGCACCGGCTCTGTGGAGAGAGTGGCCAATGGAGAAAGTAGCGCTGGAGATGAGACAGCAGCCAGCAAGGAAGAAGAAAACAAAACAGGATTTGTCAAGTTCGGCTGGGTGAAGGGTGTGCTGGTGAGAAACTTACCTGCATTTCTAAAAAAACAATTCACAGAAAATTAAATCAGTTCTGTTACACTTAAATCATTGAAGAATGAAGAGAGGGAGGCAGACTTCAGGGATGTTTGGGGTGAAATGCACTTTATCACCCTTCTGGTTTTCAACTTTACTTTCAACCTTGAACTAATGCAGGAATTTTTCTTTAAAACCTAGGTAAGATGCATGCTTAATATTTGGGGTGTGATGCTCTTTATTCGACTTTCCTGGATTGTAGGTCAAGCAGGAATTGGTATGTATCTTATTTAATATCATTTTCAACAGTGAAAGGGATAAAGAGAATAAACTATACATGATCACGATTAATATATAATCTGAGATGTGCATTTGCATGTTGAACTAAATAATGTTTTCAAATGCTTGCCAGGGTAAAAGACATTAATCCTCCAAACTATTGGAATTTTCCAGACTCACAGCCAAATTACTGCTTGGAGGCATAGATCTGTTAACTATGCATATGATCATCACATTTGAATATTTCTGAGCTTTAGTGAAATTTGTATTTAGATCCTGTAACAGATGTAAACTTTATGACTTGGGCCAATTTCTAATATGTGCGTACAGAGTTAACCTTTAAGAGTTCACACTTTGCTTATCTGTGAAACCCAAACCTTGTCATGTACATACTATAAACAACACTTCTTCACACTTCTCTGCCAAGATGAAAACAGAACTGGAAGGAGATCTCATCTCATCAGGATTTTGTTATTTTTAACTACAGAACAGCACTTGATACTAGTGTACTATGAAAGACTAAGCTTTAAAAACTCTGCTACAGCTTTTATATAAATGATATAAGCACATTTCATTGTGTGCTGTATCTTTGCTTCTTCATTGTGCAATTCAATTAATCCAAATTCCAGACCCCTGGCAGACTGGGCCCCGAGGCCTCCATCCAGTATATTGCAGAGTGTTCAGTGAAACCATTGAGAGAGGGAAGAGCTTCCAGCAGTGCAAGAGGAGCTCAGTGAGGTGCAATGTCCCACAGCTGAGTGCTACAACTCCCTTTTCAGAGCTACTGCTCTGGGGAAGCACAGAAACCTGAGCTGCCATGGCAGTGTCCCTCTGTAAGCCTGATAATACAATTACAGCAATGGGACCCTGATCTTTGACTGACACTGAGATGTTTTAGAAAACAGCAAAGGCAGGACAGCAAATAGTCCAGTCTGGATAATCACAGAATGGAAATATTCAGTTATATTAAGGGGTGTCAGCTCTGCTGCACTTGGATAAAAGTCAGTGCTCAAAATCAGATTGACTATACTATCATTTATGTCCTTGTCAATGGAAGTGAAATGAAACCTCTCCAAAATTTTGCATGGTTGAAGTCTCATTTACAATAAAAAGCAGTAACTTCATAGAAGTTTCACTTGAGCGAGACTGAGCTTTTAATAAAAAAATAACAATGAAACACTTATTAAGAAAAAAATCACAATCTTACAGAGACACAAATAGGAAAAGAAAAAACAACCCAGCAGTAAAAGATCCAGAACTAAGCGGAAGAACTTTACTACTTCTGCCGTGCTCCATGCCTGGCTCCAGCACTGTGCCTGACAAAAGGGTGCTTTCTGATTTTATGATGCATACCAAATGAGCACATTCAGCCCAGGGCACTCATAACTATATGCCTTGCCATGAAAATTCTGCATCTTAATATTGCCAAGACTTTGCTCTAGGGTTTCATGCAAAATTAGTTTTTAAGGGCAGTTTAGTAACTTATTGAGATCATCAAGAAGTATTACTTTGTTTTGAGGTGTGAGAATAGCCATGGGCAAGAGTAATTCATTTTGGAACAACTTACTGAGGAGCCATATGCCTGGATTTCAATCTAAACTTTAATCAGATTTTAACATTAATTTGCACCAACATCAGTTACAACTTTCCTGCTTTCATTTTTAATTTTACCACTTTAACTCATTGATAAGCAGGCTCTTCTTTCTTACAGTTTATTGCTCTGCTGTTGCTTTTTTAAGTTGCATGTGTTATGCAAGGGGGTTACTTTTACTTTTGAAAATGAGATGTCAAATTCCATTTGAATAATTTCTCAGTGCATTTTTGGAATGCCTTAAAAGCAATAAGCTTTAAGTCCCCAGCCAAGCTGCTTAAGGAGAACAGTGATGGAAGCTCATCATCACCAAGGCCCAGGGATTTCACCGGGTACTGCTACTAACATGGAAATTAAATGAGACAGTTAAACCACCATCTGGGCACCATTTACATCCCCATCATTAGAGGGCCAAAGAGAGACAACCCAATTATTTCCATACCCTGATAGGCTGTCTTGGGCAAAAGCTCTTACAGGGGAAAAAATAGGATTCTGCAAGGCTCTCTGGCTATCATCAGCTAGGGAAAAAAAGGGACAGAATAATTCTGACAAGATTCGAAGTCCAAAACTAGTCTGCTATTTCCATCTAATATTTGGGGACTCTCTGAAATCTGTATTTGTACCTATACATGGAATGGTTAGACAAAGGCAGGGAAAACCAAATTTATGCTACCTGCAAATCTGGCCCCAAATATTAAAATTATGTTACATTACATTATATAACAAGGATGTTTTGGTTGAGTCACTTCATTTTATGCACTTTTCTTCTTAAATGCTAAAATATTTTCTAAAAAATTATCATTAAAGCCTTCCCATGAAGGTATTACTATCAGATTAGCAAAATGTCTGATCCTATATATCACATACATGTGATATGTATGTATGTCATATCACAATATGAATTGTGAAATGCAGTAGAACACCCTTGAAAAGTATCCTTAGGATGCACACAGCAAATAATTCTAAAACTGCTTTAAATTATGAGTCTAACTTACTCAATTTAAGAGTTAACAGCTCTTAAAGTCAGTCCCCTTCTCAGACACAAAATTTGCATGGTTGAACAATATCCTTCATAGCACATCCTGCTCAATGGCAGCTGACCAAAAGGAATGACCATTTGGAATTTTTTGTACAGACCTGCACATAAAACACTTTCATGACTAGCTATAGTAAGAGCTCAGAAATCAGTAAGATAAACATGATTTATTAGAGGCTCAAATCACTTTAAATATGCTAGACTATGTTATATATCATTTATAGCTCACACATTACATTGCTTTATCTTAAAGGATTGTGATAACATGGCTGTAATTTAAGCAGCAAAGAACATTAATTCAGGGACTGGATGTCTATAACCATCCAGTATGAACAGAACTCAGGAATCTGATCTGTAAGTCAGATGGTAGAAATACAGCAGATAAATCAATAAGTTTGCAGCACTCCTAGCTCAATGTCAATTGTAGGATCTAAGTTTCAATTTGGATGAGCCCTGGCCAATAAATACAGCTACAAACAATGTATATTTCCCAGTTCCACAGTGAATGCCTATGTACCCTATGGAAACAAGACAGTTATTGCATAAGCCTCAGCAAGTTCAGATAAAACTAAGAACTGTTTCCACGCTTGGCACCAAACTGTAATTATTTACTTTTTTCTCCTGGTTTTCTCCCTCCCTTCTCATAGACAGAAGTGAGAATAAAAGCAATAAAGTTGAGAGAAAAACATTATATTATTTCTTCACCTGACTTGAAACAAAAAGGAGATCTGGAACTACAGAGACAAACTCCTCTAGGGAGTGCCAGAAATGTAACAGCAAAGGCTGCAATTGTACCTTGGGAGGTGCAGTTTGTACACGTTTTATTGGGCAGGTAGTCTAGCCCCAGAACATGTAATTCAAAGAGGATCTTTCGTGGGATCTTTATCCATGAGGTTTTCAAGAGCCAGCTAGCCAAGGTCATCACTGATTTCATCCTGTGTTGGCAGTAGTTCTGCTATGACTGGGAGGTTGAGCTACAGACCTCCTGAAATCACTTCAAACCAAAGCTTGTACAATTCTAAATCACACAAAGCACATCTGCTCATATGGTTTCTAGCAGTTTTACAAAGTTTAAAGAAACCCAGCCATATAGGCAAAAACTGGAAACATTATCAGATTTCAGTCTTACTCTGAAACCCAGTTACCTATAACTAATCATCTATCACTGATATTTTGATATTTGATTATCATTGTGTTATCAGCTAAAAAAAATTATATTCTAAAAGTTCTTTATGAGTATACATTACAGGTCACCTGTTAAAGTAAATGGCATCTAAAAAGCAGTATTTCCATTTTCAAGTGTTTGTTTTGTGTTAGAGTAAAACTACTTTTTGCAGGGAAAGAGGCAGAAAGCAGAGAGTGGGAAAGCCCAGCATTTGATACCTTAGCAAATGAGGATGTGGAAGGCTCCCACTCTTGTCTTGTCCTCTGCCTGACAGACTCCTTGTCCTCATGCACTGTGAACCTATACAGTCAGTCTTCCTCTGATTCAACATTTCATTAACTGATGAAAGACAACAGCACAATTGTCACAAGAGCTCTGGTTCATGTGCCTCTCAATTTTAAACAGCCAGGATGTGTGTTAAAGGTAGATATAAGCATCCTTGTCAAGGGATGCCTGTTTGTTTGTTTCCTCCATCCTTTGGAAATGATAAGAATTCCTGGACAGAGTACTCCTATCAGAAAGAATCATTGCTTGAAGACTGATGGGAGTAATTTACTATGGTGACACAGACTTCATGAAAATGTTCGGCAAGCAGCAAGTGGTCCACAAACCATCTTTTCAGTTTACTGCTGTGATTCTGGCCTGAAAATTCAATTTAAAGAAAGAATGATTTGTAGGAAACATGGAACATGAGTAAAATATTTTATCTTCTTATTACTGACAGGTCTTGGAGTAATCATAATTCTTCTGGCCACGATGGTAACCTCAATTACTGGGTTGTCAACTTCTGCAATAGCAACTAATGGGTTTGTCCGTGGAGGTAAAAATCTTAGGGTTACTAATGCTTTCAAGCCCCAGAAGGTATTTATGTATTATTTTGGTGTGAGACAAACCAGAAGGACCATAAACCAAAGGGCACAGCTAGTGGAACTGGAAGGTAACAATTCTAGCCACCTCTCATCACAATTTCAGGCGTGTTTCAGCTGTCACTTCTAATAAAGCACGGCTTTCAGTTCAGTCTGAAAAGTACATTTCAGATGTTCCTGCCAACTGCTGAGCAAGGGATGGTTCTGGCTTTTCATGGAGTTCTTTCACCTTTCAGCTGGTCTTTCCTATTCATAGCATTCCAGGTTGGACACTCTTCAACAAACTTGAGACATCTCTTCCTGTCATTTTGAAGACCGATGCAGATCAGTGGATATCTTCAGTTTAATGCCTTCTTTATAACCCTCCTTACATTTCAGCCCCTCCTTGGAAGATGGGTAAATGATTCAACTGTGAAAGTCCATGTCAGGTAATTTGTGAAACAAAGTTTTGGTGCATTTCAGAGCCTTTAAGTTTTAACTGGTCTGGTCTAAGCCCTGTGGAAAATGGCAAGTTCTTACTACATCCCTAAAGGAGAACAGGTACTGGAATACACTTGCATGTATTTTCTTTTTCGGATCTTTCAGGTCTTGGAATCATAGTTATTGCTCTGAGTGTAGTAGTAACAACATTGACAGGTATCTCCATGTCTGCCATTTGCACTAATGGAGTAGTAAGAGGAGGTAAGTGAATATGATCTCATGAATATGATCTTCTCTGCAGATTTGAATTAGAAGAATAAATGGACTTGAGATAACTGCTATAAGCAAAGAAAAAATATGTATATTTGCAGTGCTTTCTCCCAGTGAATCAACAGCAAATAGAAATGGGTATAGAATTAATGCAAAAAACATTAAAGATTCACTGCATCACTATGATGCAGGAACTTAAACAATGTACCACAGAATGTGACATTCCATGTTAACATCGGGACAGACCCATGCAAGTTAGAACTTACTTAAAAGTTAGTTAGCTTCACTTTGGAAGCTCTCTCTTCTTTATGTTACTATATCATGCATCATGAAAAATTATAACAAGGTCCAGTTTTGCATGCTAATATGCACTAAAAAGACTTCTGGAATAGAAAGCCATACTGAAAAGTCTGAAGACAGAACCAGTATAAAGCACATTGCTTTTCTGCAGCGTCCCCTATTAACACAGGGCGAAGACTGATTATATTTGTGAGATAAAAAGCACAGATTTTTCCAGTAACAGTTATGTGAGGGGAAAAAAGCACAAAATCTGAGTGTTTAGTTGTGCTGAAATAACAATTATTTCTGTCTGCAGGTGGAGCATACTATCTTATCTCAAGAAGTCTGGGCCCAGAGTTTGGTGGATCTATCGGCCTTATCTTTGCATTTGCAAATGCAGTGGCAGTTGCCATGTATGTAGTTGGATTTGCTGAAACTGTTGTGGAACTTCTTAAGGTAAATACAGATGTTTCATGTATATGATTAAATTGGCTCAGTTTTGTTTTGTGTGGCTTTTCTTTTTTTGGGGGAGGGTGGTGATGGTGGTGTTTGTTTTACATAATGTATTTGTGTAAGTGGTGATATGTTTTAGTTAAGGCTTGAGGGGGATCTTTAGCAGGGAAGAAGCTGGTCTGCCTATATATACCACAGAGTGCTGCTTCATTATTTCTACCTTTTGAATGTATTTCATACATTTCTTGACAAGAATCTCAATATCAGAATAGGAACAGACATCCCATTAGCCAAATAATCCCAACTGCAAAAAGTCAGCTGGAACATGACATACCAACTTGGTCTCACAAAGCTCTGAAACTTTGACAGCTCACTGCTTTCTATTTCACCTTGCTACTTGATCCCATCAGCTGGGCAGAGAAAGACTGGTTCTCATAACATTTCTAACCACTTTCAGGAGAGTGATACACTGATGGTAGATGAGTCCAACGACATCAGAATCATAGGGACCATCACTGTGGTGTGTCTTCTTGGCATCTCTGTTGCTGGCATGGAGTGGGAAGCAAAGGTAAACTTTTAAAAGAATATAAAAGCAAGCAGTATATTAACCTGCTGTACACAATTAGTGTGTGAGGAATGTTATTCAACAGATGGAATTTTCAAAAGCACTCAATTTCAGTTTATGCTTAATCTTTCTAAAAGCAATAGGAGTTTAATCATTACATTCAATGAGAGCACAATTACTCTAAACTCTTCCTTGAGCAAACATTTAAAAGCACAGAGGAAGTTTGGGTTTTGCAGACAACTTGGTTATATTCATTTTTATAATTCATGGCATCATTTAGAGTCTTGGCTATCTGCCCCTTCTGTCCTTATTTTTGATGCAGCTTGATAGAATAAACAGTAGCAAAAACAATATATGGTTTTATCACTGTACTCTCTCAAGCCCTACTCAGCAGAAGAGCTCTATTTGTTACCCATTCTTTAATCTCTAAGATTTCTGCTATTCCTTCACCTGTGAAAAAGGTCAGAATGCAAATTCAAATGGAAATACTTGAGAGTGGAATACAGCTATTGAAATCAGGTCCAGAAATCAGGTTCAACAGTACCCTTGTTTTTCCTGTAATGGAGACTAGAACAACTTGTAAAAGAGATCAGAAAACAATTTGATATTATAAGTTTTGAAGTGACAACCCCCTGCAACTAAGAAAAAATTATAACAATATAAAAATGTCTTATACTTGATACTAATGCATTAGCTGTTCCATTTTGCCTTTTCTTGTAAGGAAGTTAACCTAAAATTAAATTATAACTCTATATTTCATTACCCCCTTAGTAAAAAGCATCTGCTGTTGTGACTAGCTGATTGAGCTATCTTGACTTCTGGTATTTTCAAAAACTATAGAAATGAATAACCTATTATAGGGAACAGAAACAGATAACTTACTATATAGCCATCTCCACAGCAACAAAGTTAAAAACTACAGAAGAATCTCTTTGTTTCTATTAATAGGCTCAAGTTATTCTTCTGATTGTTCTCCTTGTTGCCATTGTAAATTTCTTTATTGGCACAGTCATTCCTACCAACACTGAAAAGAAGGCAAGAGGCTTTTTTAATTACCAAGGTAAGCAACCTTGCTGTCTGTGATAAAATTATGTTTGCATTCTTTTGACTTAATAGTAAGCTAAGGATTCCACTGAAAAATGTCACAAGATCAGAATCTCCTGCCCAAGCTGAAGTGAGCTTGCAAACAAAGAGAATGGATTTCATCTCTAATTTTCAGTCTGTCTCTGCTGCTGCAGCTGACAGCACAGTACAATGCAGCTTGAGTCATTTATACAGCAGTAGAGCACAGACAAACTTTAACACAGAGCTAAGAGCAAGTGCTGCAGTGACACTTGTGTCACTTCAGCATGGATCTGTAGCTCTGAGACACAGACAAGCACATCCCTTCTGAGGAGCAGACTAAGGAAATCAAATTCACTTTGTTTGTGATGTGATGTGAGACAGATTCAAACCCAGTTGTCCAGATGTGAAAGACTGACTTACTTACCTCCTTCATTAAGTAACTTTGGAATCAAATCCTGTTGTTATATTTCATTCTCATTATATTTGCAGCATCAATATTTGCAGAAAACTTTGGACCAGATTTCAGAAGTGGAGAAGGATTTTTTTCGGTGTTTGCCATATTTTTCCCAGCTGCCACTGGCATTCTTGCAGGAGCCAATATCTCAGGAGATCTGAAAGTATGTATTTCATGAACTTCATCATACTAGCCACAGGTTGGAAAAATAGCAAGAAAATCAATCATGAATCAACACTCTATTCAGTTTTAAATCATGTCTTTGCTTTCCAAATTAAGCTCTCTCTTTTAAGTACCTGCTTTATTATTTAAAAACACCAATTCACAAATTCTCTTGTAATGCATTATGGCTATTAAAAGAAATTACTGTAGCTAGATTTGGGTTGCTATATAATTTAAAAACATGTTTCAATAACCTGTAATAATATATCATTAATGGTCCATTAGCAGCATATGCTATAAGAGAAATTACATGTGTATCTCTTGGAGCTCATCTTCTGTAAACATCAGCCCAAAAAGCATCCCTGGAACACTCATGTTTGTACTCACAAGAATCAGTGGAGATCAGCTTTTCATATTCAGGGTCATAGCAAGGGCAGAGCAAGCAGAGCATTTAAAGAAAGCAAGAATGAGCAGCAATACTGACTTGGGATTGGGACAAAGGAAAAGCTGCAAGATGCAGCTGTGACCAAAAATAGTCTGAAGAGAAAGGTAAAGGAGGTCCAAGGGTGCCCAGTTGTCTTGCTGTGGCAAATCTGTCAGTTCCCCATTCTCCTCTTGCAGTTTACCAGTTATAGGAGATGGAATTTCTAGTACCTAAACACACAGGTAAATTAGAGACAGGAATTTAGTTTTGAGTGCTCTCTAGTTTTCATGACAAAAAGACTCAAAAAACAACCAAAATAAAGGGAAAAAAGTCACCAACAAGACTCACAGCTTGATAACCCCAGCATGTCAAATGAAGTTATTTGGCCTTATCCTATAAATCCATTGCCTTGCAAACCTTAAAGAATTCAACCAAAGCTCTTCTATTTCTGTACTGGTACAGCAGTCACAAGTTCACCAGATCCTACCACCCCTGAGAGCCAATTCTCCTTCCTTTCCTCAGCCTGAGCTGCATGCCTCAGCTCCTTTGTTTTCAGAGAACTGCTTTTCAAGCCAAGCACAGAGAAAATACGTAGAACCTGAGCCACTGATAGCGTCAATGAGATTCCATTTTTAATTAAAAAAGCAAAAACCATTGTACTTCTGCCCAGTGAGACTGCACCAGCCTCACACAATCTCCATCCTTTTATCAAACAAAAATAATTCTTTTGCCATATATGGTGCTCTATCTGCATGGCAGACTCCCAAAGCAGCAGCACTTCTTTCATCAGCTGTTTGAAACAGTCTGAGCAGACCTAGGGAAGCAGTTCTCCCACTGGATCTCTGCAGTCGTTTCAGTCTCACAATAAGTGGACTCCTGTAACCAAGTCCTCCAGGCAGCAGATTCCCCACTGAGCATGTTTAGATGCATTAGACAAGTCTAATTAAATTAACCAGCCTCTCCAGAATCTAAAATAAAAGCTAAGGAGTGTTTAAAAAGTGTAAAATTTACCAATCAAACTTTCTTTAGAATTTGCTGCAAGCACCTTTTCCATGCTTCTGCAGCCACTACACACTCAAGTTGTGTCCTACTCCAGAGCCCACTTATAGGGACAGCTTCCTAGTGACTTCCTACTGACTTCAGTGGGCCTTAGCCCCTAAAGTGCTAACAGCATAGTAAATATAGGTTTAAATTTTGAAAACATAAAAATTGTTAAGTTGTAAGAACCTTTAACCTTAACATGTAATGTTACAGAGTTTAGGACAACCACAAGATTCCACAAAAACAATTACCTAAAACATGCACATCAGAACTGCATAAAGTCACCATGCTCTGAGTGCAAAGGCTCTTATGCAGCAGAAGTGACTCCACAATTATTTTCCCCCTCAATAGATCCTTACCTCATTTAAAAATTATATTAATTACTAATCCTGTTAGGCAATTCACGTATGCCTCCCAATAAACTCCAAATTTGTATTTTGGTTTTTCACCCTGCAACAAGCATTTGAGTCTGTGACTTCAAATCCATTCAACAAATCTTTGATTTAAAAACAGCATGATAAATCAACTTCAGGAGAAAATTAATAAAAAATCCTTCCTAGTATAAACAAACACCCTAAATTGTAAGGTTATCCAGCATTAAAAATCCCTTTAAAATGTACAGTGAAGATCTTTGGACTCTTACTTACAGTTGCATTATCAAAGCTGATGCTGTGGTGAGCCAATCTGTAAGCATTATAACCCAGGCTCATTAAATTATCTAAATTAAGTCAATACAGTAAAAGAAAGTAGCTGTTTTGAAGACCCAACTAACAATTACTGGCTACAAAGGACAGAAGTACTGTATTCTGTACAGGGTGACTCCATCTATCTTACCAATTAACCAAAAATGGTCCCATCTTGTCATCCACAAGGGTCTGATGGTTCAGTAAGTATTTACCCACTACATCATCAAACATTAAGAGAAAGCCAATTGCAATGTAAAGAGTTTGGAGTTCAAGAAATGCAGACCTCAGGACACTTCTGTTGCTATAAATGTGAGCTCTGCTCCTGCAGAATATCCTTCCTGTGTGCAGGGTAGGAGTGCTGCCCCACAGGAGCTCTGCTGTGCTGGGACCAGAAATGTGGCTCAGGTCAGAGTGATAAAAATCTGCTCTCTGGGGTATCTTCACACCACAGAGTGGCAGAACTCCCAGCATGCAAATGCAATCAGGCTGCAGCACACAACTCAGTGTTTCTTGTGTCACTGCTTTGTTTAAGGACCCACAAAGTGCCATACCCCAGGGAACAATGCTGGCCATTCTGATCACCACAATTGCTTACATTGCTGTTGCAATATGTGCAGGTAAGTACAGAACCTCTGCTTCACTTGTATAGTTAAGTTTGAAATTTGGCATGCAAGTGAATGATTAGCCTCACTGCTTTTTCATGCCATTGATTTATTCTTTAGAGAGACAGTAGTTTTGATTTTACTGTATGTCACAACAATGGTTTTTAAAAAGGCAGCAATCAGTGGAAACAAAAGTCCCCATGTGGCAGCTGGACCTTCAGGTAACTTGTATGGTTATTTTTGCATAAGTGACAAAGACCACCAGCATATAGCAACCATGAGCATAATAAAGATCAAAGGAACCTCTGATCAATCTGCTGATCTGTTCCTGGTTCACATTGAAATTTCACATGGCTTCTGCTTGTCTTCTTACTGAACACTCATGAGAATCACAGGAACAGGGTAACACACACATTTTGTACATTATATGTCAAAGACAGAAATCAGTTGCCAGTCTCAAAGGAACCACACAACTACATGCTCTACAGTGGGGGCTGTGGGGTAACAAAACGGGCATGAGTGAAAAGGAGGCCTGTACTGAGAGCTATGAAATGTGTTGGAGGATTATGCAGTTAAATTCTCATTACAAGCATACAAAAAAAATCCCTGCCCAACACAAAATGTTGCTCTTTGGGATGAATCTAAGGCAGCAGCTGTACAACAAGTGTGCAGTTTAGGTGTGGCAAGTGTGGCAAGAACATTCTTTCAATGTCACAGTGAAGCAAAATAACAATATATCATTTTTTCCCACAGCCTCCTGTGTTGTAAGAGATGCTACTGGGAACGTCAATGATACAATTGTACCTGGAATGAGCTGCAATGGATCATCTGCCTGTGGCCTAGGCTATGATTTTTCCAGATGTGCAAGTCAGCCATGTGATTATGGGCTGATGAATAATTTTCAGGTTTTAGTGATAATATGGATTAACATATATGCATATATTAGCATAATAAGCAATACATGAATACATAAGTACAAACATGCAAAACTGTTGTCTGCAGACAACTACAACAGCACAACCACTTATATCTAAAAAAGTAAACTATAGGAATGATGAAAGACAAAAATCCCCGGCATTGCCTGTTTACCTTCACACTGCCCATCACTAGCCCTCCTATCACCCTGGTAAGGCCTTTATCTCCTCTTTTAACAAGCACCATGCAGCAGTATATGTTAGAACAGCTTCAAACTGAAAGCCCAGACTTAACAGAGATCTCAGGAACTCCTGTTAGATGAGGAATTCACTTCGCTGCTCTTGACACATGGATGTGATTTTACCTCAGGGGTGCTGTGGTCACAGTTAAAGGGTTGTGTCACAGCACAAAAACCAGAGTTCTGACTTCTTTAAAAAAAGTATCCAACAGTAGAGCAAAAAATCAAGTGAGAAGTAATGGAGTCTTTCTCCTAGACCAGAAACTGTCTGCCATTTTTATTCTTCAAAATAAAGCTTAGGCTAAGCATCAAAGTAAAGCAGTTCTGCAGCCTGACAGACACAGGTCCCAGATCTCTGTTCAGCCCCTGTGCTTCATGGCCAGTGAGAGGAATTCACCACCCACCCGCACAGGCTTTTCAACGAGTCATTTGTACCTTTTAAAGTCACTCACTTTCTTCCCAGCTGGCTCTGCTGAATGACAGGGCTGGGGAACCACCTTGAAAGGGATATGCTGTCCCTTTCATAGACTACTTTTCCTTCCTTCCTTGATCATTTACCATCCTTACTCCCACCTCAGTTCAGCTGCCCACACTCAGGGCACTCCTTAAAATCAGTAACCTACCTACAGCCAGACAAATTTTCACTTCTTGCATTTACCCCTGCCAGACTAGAGCCATAAAATGTTATGACTGCATCTGACAAATCTTCAGGATGCACTGGTTTCTTTTCTGAAGTACTGCCCACATACCACCAATCACATCCACCTATCTTTTAGTTTCCTTGTCTGGTGCATCTCAGCAATCTTTTCCCTTCAGTAGGCCAGCCCAGCACTCCTGGGAGGGCTGAGGGAGGCCTGACAGTGACCATCATTACTGTTTGCAGCACTGCAGCTCCATCAGGCATTTTCTCTCATTTTCAGCCATATTAAATAATCAAGGGGAAAAAAACCCCACCACATAAAATAAAGTGCCTCCAACCACATTTCATACATTAGGGCTTTTTCCTGCCCTTTTCATTTTCTTGTCTGCTACAAGCTGACTATTTACTCATCAAGTAGAGGCTGTTACTTACAGCAATCAGTTAGTAAAGGCAGTGAGGAAATCTCAGAGTACTCATCTGCCCCAGCAGACAGCTGCATATTTGAATAAGAATTTGGCTTTGCCTCCATTGCTTTTAACTAAACCCAAAATAATAGTACAGTTTGTGGCAGATTAAATTTAGAACCATGAAAAGTAGAGACACATAGAGCACTTGAATGGGTTTGTCATTAAAAAGTGCATCCAAATGCAAGCCTGTTCTTTTCACCTTCATTTTTTTCCTAAAGGTGATGAGCATGGTGTCTGGCTTTGGTCCTCTCATCACAGCTGGCATCTTCTCAGCTACTCTGTCATCAGCTCTAGCATCTCTTGTCAGCGCACCCAAAGTTTTCCAGGTAAAATTAAAACATCCATTTCCTTATACTTGGTTTTACTTCAGAGACAAAGTTGAACTCTGTGTGCCAAATGTATATTTAAGCAACATTGACACATGTGGCAGGAAGAGGCAGGGAAAACAATATGTAGAATGTTTTTCAGCAGAAAAAGACAAGTCTTATCATCATACAAGGGAGATAATGTTCCTTTGGTTAGAGCTCAGCTTTGCTGCAGGAGCAGGGGATACTCATGTGCCTGTCATAAATAGCTTCAAGGGTACTTTCAGGACCACTTCTGTCTTTTACAAAAAGCTGCCCTGTAAGCACAGGAGCAGCAGGGGCCCTCAGGTCCATAAGATTCAGGTGCTGTCAGGTGTGCTGTTAACAGGCTGTCCAGAAGCTGTCTGGGCAGCAGCAACATGGACTGACTGGGAGCAGAGGGCATGGGAGAGATAAGCTGTACAAATTACATCAACCCACTGATTTATGCTTCAACTTCTCACAATTTAGACTCTATTTAGCTATTTAATTACCTTTTCATTTGAAGCACTGAATAAGCATTAAATGCCTGTGATTCTATTTCCTATGATATAATAACATAGTAGCACATTGTCTTATCACCTTATTTAAATGTTCATATGCCACAGCAGTTGATGAACTTGAAGCACTGAGATTTAACTTTTGTTTAGCAAAAGCCTGGAAAGCTGCCACTCACAGACAGTGACTTCTGGTGCAAGAAAGTGCTGCTTAATAGAGTTATGTGCTGATTTTCTTACCAGGCTCTTTGCAAGGACAACGTCTACAAAGGGCTAGAATTCTTTGCCAAAGGATATGGAAAAAACAACGAGCCTATCAGGGGATATGTCCTCACCTTTGCCATAGCCATGGCCTTCATTCTGATTGGTTTGTATCAGATTACACAGCTGCTACAGTGTCATGCTCTGAAATGACACAAACTCACACTATAATACAATCAGTAGCTGCAGTTTGGAAAATTTCCAGTCGGGTAAGCTCTGGCATAAGCACACCCCAAGTCCTGGTAGCAGTCCCACTATTCCTAATGAAGGCAAAAAGAAAGCAGCAGGGATTCCAGTGACTTACCTCCACCACCACAGCCTCATTCTCCAAGTGTGGAGTAGCTGAAATTCCTGTTCACTCTGCTGGAAAAGGGCAGTGCTCAGAACTCTATCAGAAATGGCAAAGTCACAATCTTTGAAAATGGTTTTCCAGTTTATATTGCACATAGCTCTGAGGTAATACTTAAGAAGCCTATTCTGCCCAAGCCTTTCCCACAGTCAGCTCCAAAGCAAATCCCAGTTTACCAGGACTGATGAAACAAAATCCCAGCTACCACATTTAGGGGTGCAGGGATTGTTATCAGTTTTTCTAAGATTTGAAATTCAAACTGTCTTGCGCTAAGTAAATAGGATGTCTAGAAGAGAATTCAGATTCCCACTGAAGCTGTAATTACAAGTATTTTTTTAAATGAATCCATCCTGTCAATTGTGTATTTAAAATTCTGAACTTTACATGAGATCTATATCATTAAGAGACAGTATGCTGAATCACAGTATCAAGTATAACACTGCATAGCACATAATGTTATTAAAATCAGGATTAGCAGACATAATTCATATGAATGAAGGTAGATCAAGGGGGCCTTAAATTAGTAATACACAAAAATACCCAAGCTCTTCCTGGATGATAAATGCAGACAATGTTCAGATTTAATGCATCATTAAGAAACAGCTAGCCAGCAGCCCAGGAAACTGGTCCTCTGTCTGACTTGTGTATGTGTCTTGCAGCTGAACTGAACACCATTGCTCCCATCATCTCCAATTTCTTCCTGGCTTCATACGCTTTGATTAATTTCTCCTGCTTTCATGCCTCATATGCAAAATCTCCAGGTGAGTCTGCATTCAGCAGTGATTTAAATATGGGCTTTATAGTCTGATCTCTGGAAGGTTTAGACTGTATGTCAGAGAAAACTGCAGTATGTGTAAAGTATCTAAGTTATGTGATCTGATGCCTTACTGAATATGATGTTTTATTTATCTCCAAAACATAAAAATAATGGCTCTAAGTCCTTACAGCACCTACAGTCATACAGAATGAGAAAGGTGCATCCCACTGGAGAAAAAAATTCTGCTCCAAGTGTTTTTTTTTTCCCTTACTATTAAAAAATGTGTGGGTAAAAGCTTATGCCAACTCTGGCCAATGAAGCTGCCAGGTACAGTGGGGAATCATCACTCCCTTCTCCAAACCTACAGCAAAATGTTCGGGGAGATTCCTAAGCACAGTAACAGTGCTACAAGTGATGCTGCCTGGAGGGGAACATGCAGAGCAAGAGCAGGTCCATCAAACAGCACCAGCACAGCTCTGCAGTGCCTACAAGCAGAATTGTAAAGCACAATTGTGAAGCACAATGAGGTCCTGTTCAGGGGTGACTAGAGATCCTCCCTCTACATTTGCAGCAAAGGAACATTCTGGCTGTCAAACTTGTGCATTGCCACAGCAGAATGAATCTCACCATCTCACGAAGGAAGGGGTGACACCTTCAGGAATAAAGTCAATCAGCTGAGCAACACTGGTTTGGCACACAGGAAAGAAAATTTCCTGCTTTATGAATTAGTTATTCAACTCAAGGAGCAAGGAATACATTTTTGATTTCCAGTGTGAAGAAACTGCAGTAGTGACATAAATGCCTGCATCAACTTCCTTCCTATAGATCTGCAGAGTGCCATTTGTTTAGAGGGCAGAAATGATGAGCACTTCTGCTAATTACCTGCACAGCTGAACAAATGCAGATCTGCTCCATGTGGCCTTAGTGCTGAGTGACAATTACCTCTACAGATTTCATCTGCCTACATCTGACTCTGCTCTGCCACTACTTAACATTTCACACAGAACTGCAGCCATTTTCTTTTCTCATTTCCTCCAGTTAATTTCTGCCAATTCACAATGATAGATTACAATAATTGCAAGGCTGCGGGACAGACAATTTCTTCCCAGCAGGTCCTTCCTATTCCCTCATTATAAAGATGATCCAAGATGGGGTTGCTCAGCCTCTTGTATCTTCTGTGTTTTCTCCCTCTCCAAAGTCTGCTCTGTGGAACACCTGGCAGAGACCTGCAAACCATGAAGGCTCAGTGCTTGCCTCATCATTTTAATTGGTAGCAGGGGATGGAATCAGTACTGCAGCTGAAAAGCAGCAGGAATAATATCTTTTTTAAGTCAATTGCAGAGGATTTTATTTTTCTGCCACAAAGCCAGGCAATTTCCAAGTTTAAGACAGGTGCATTTACAGTATTGGGATAAACACTCCTCTCAGCAAGTGTTTAGCTACTGATAATAACTTCTGTGTATAAGCATCAAAAGTATACAATCATCAATTACCTGGAGTTACAGGTAATCTCCTGATGTCCTAAAATATTCTGAACCAATAAACTTTATTTTTGCAAATACATATAAATAGAATAGCTTCTTCTGACAGAGCCTGAAACAAACTATACATGGGATTTTATCCACAAAAATCATGGATCATCATTTTATCAATATATTTTATGCTCTTCCAATTTCCTCAATTCTGTTTAAACAGGTTGGAGACCTGCATTCAGATATTATAACATGTGGGTGTCACTTTTTGGAGCCCTGCTGTGCTGTGGGGTGATGTTTGTCATCAACTGGTGGGCAGCTCTCATCACTTATGCCATTGAGCTCTTCCTATATATTTATGTAACATATAAGAAGCCAGGTAAGGCCAAACCCCGCTATTATTACATATACATGTTGTGCTGTTAGACTGAATTTTAAAGGAATCAATTCTGCTAACAGAACTAGAAATTATTTTTCTGTGCTATCTTTATTTAGAGGGAAGTCTGAAGCATCCCATTAAACCCCTTGTAATACAGATTAAGTTGATAGTTTGGTGACTGCCTGTTTAGCAAGCAGCTCAAGTGTGGTTCAGGATTTTCTGTAAACATTCCGGCAGACTGGTTTATTCCCACCACATCTTTATGACATTTGGGCTTTTACTTGAGTAGCACTCATAATTTTTTTCCACCCACGCACAAAACGTTACCTGAATTTTGCAGTGCTCTTACGCTGACTCAAGCAGGGTCCTCACTCAAAATGTAAACGTGCTGCCCATTATACAACAAAAATGCAAGCTGAATTACTTATGAACTGATCATCCTCCAGCACCTCCCTACAATTCCCCCATAAATCAAGACAGATGGGCCCACTTTACTGCTGGAAAAAAACCCACTTTGTAGTTCAGCAAATCACAGGAGCTGTCCTCAAAAACCTTTGTCCTGTACCAGCCAGACAGTCTGGCTATTCATATCCAGGACAAAACTAACCCAGGTCCAGATTTAGGTGCTAACCACCTGAATTACTTCTGCAGCAGAAAACATAAAACAAAACCAACAAATAAAAGAAGCACAGTTCCCAGCAACAGATGTACTTTCATTGGAGTTATCTTGGGACAGCAACACCTGGTCTGAGACTGTGTTACTGTTTCTCTTGCTGTTGCCTGTCCTCCCTATCTGTGCTCTCTCACACCCACTGGGATGGTCTGTGCTTCTCTCCTGTAAAAGTATCATCAGCTGCAGGAAATCACACCCATCTCCAGTCTGTTGTCAAAAACATTCCAGGATTTCTACTCTTTTCTTGGATATTGCCAGGCTCCCTAATGCAAAGTAGCACATTAAAGCTTGGTTAAATTCATTGAAGCTGCTGTACAAAAGCCCTGCCTCCTGCTAAGAGAGTGACTTTTGTTCAGCAGTAATTTACCAGCAACTGGAGGGTTCAGGAAAAACTAATATTCCTCAGAAAAGGTGACTTTACACAAACCTCCACTTAGTTGCACTTAATATTGCTTTGTATCTTGGCATAACAGGACTTGATCTGCATTCATGTAGATCTCAAAGCACAGAAAGACATTTCTTATATGTCTGCACTGACCAAAGAGCTGCACAATAATGAGAAAAGATGTATATGCCAAAATGGGCTTTGGAGACCAATTTTTGGTCTATACAGTAGAATAGAGCAAACTGGCACCAGCAATGTTCCTTCCTACTGGTTTCATTTGTACCTCCTGGAATTCCCCACCACACACATGACTCGGGGCTGTCCATTTTCTAATGGGAGAAGGACACAAAGTTAATGTAACAAATAAGAAAATAGTTTTTAAGCACGGAAAGAACATTCCCTACAACATTTACATAAAGAATGAAACTATTTACTTGCATGGGGTTTTCTGCATCACACAAGCAAAACCAATCCCTTCTATTATGAAGCACAAAGAACAGATCTGTATCTATGAAAGACAAGAGAATATACTCTGCTCTTCATAGAGAACACCATTGCTCATTTTTGCAACAGAATGTAAGGAGAAGCCTGTGGTTTAATGTGCATTATTTATCTTTATCATATGCAGAAGTTAACTGGGGCTCCTCTACCCAGGCTCTGTACTTTGTTAATGCCTTAGACAGCGCTTTGGCTTTAACCACAGTGGAGGACCACGTTAAAAACTTCAGGTAAGATTTCTACTGAACAGTAGAATGGCTTGTCCTGAATCTGTACACAGCCAATTATACACAGCCTCTTTTTTCCCCACCAGACCCCAGTGCTTAGCATTAACAGGAGCTCCTATGGTCAGGCCTGCTCTGCTGGACATCACCCACGCCTTCACGAAGAACAACGGGCTGTGTATCTGCTGTGAGGTGTACACGGTAAGGGAACTCCCCTCATTGCACCCCCAGCACCAGTGGGGCTGCAGGGCTCTGTTCCACATCCCACTCTCACCCAGCACACAGAGCTCCCACTGGGGCTGACTGGCAGCTGTGCACAGCACCAAAGAGATCTGCACTGAGAATCAATTTTGTCATAATTCGTGACACGAAAGCTATCGGCTGATACAAAGCCTGCTGGTAAATGCCTCACTGAGATGCATTTCAAAGTTCACAGTAGGTGAACCAAAATTGGTTTGAATGAAAAAAAAAACCAAACATTACAAGGAAAGATTTTAGGCTTAAAAAACAGAAAACCCCCAAACCACACAAAACCTGAAGGGTTATTGCGTGAGAATCAAATTACCCAGGTTCTATTTTCAGCTTTGTCACTGATTTGCAGAGGTGGGGACTGGCAAGTAATTCAGCTCTCTTTGCAGTGGTTCCTCCAAAACTGTTACAATGCTAATTTTGAGGATAAACATGCTCTTCTGAGATCTAAAGAGAGGAGCAAAGTGTATTTCTAGATATAAATACACAGCAAATGATGCATCTTGGATGAAGATCTAGTCTCTCATCAGGACAGAACAAAAATAGATAGATTTGTAGTGTAGGGAGAAAATGTATTTTAAATATTACATTGCCCTTTTAATTTTGAGAGAGAGAAAAAAAAACCAGAACAGCTCATGGCACTAAATGAGGCTACAGAATTTAGATAATAGAATCAGTCCAGCTAAGATAATGTATTCCTCTATAGCAGTAAAGGAATAATGCATTTGATGCTGCCACACTGCAGAAACAGAGTACAGAAGATCCACATGTGACTCTTCCCAAATCAAATGGATCTAGAAAGAATGAATGGTCCTAATTCTTCCCTACTATAATTATTGTTTGATTTCCCACTGAATTCACTAAGCACAGAACCAATCCCAACAAGACCCTGAGACTATGCAGCTTCCTAAAGTTAAGTTCCAGCAAGTTTTCTGAATTATTAGGCACGTTTTTCCAATATTAATACTTTCTATGGAGAACTGAGATTTCATTCCTGTTGATACAAAAAACTCCAAAGACCATTTCATTAGTATAAGCTTTGTAATTGTTTAGGGGGGCTTTCTAATTATTTCTTCAGCAACTTAAGTGAAATTTAATTTCCTTGGTAATAAAAGTGTGACAAAATGAACCTCTATGAATTGCAAAATTGTGGTAAAAACCAGATGATGAAATTCACAATCACATTGAAGAGCAGCCTGCAATAAATATCACAACAAATGCAGCAAGACTATTCAGCCATAAATGTAACACCCAGCACATTCTGCCTCAAAAGCTGACATGCTGTTAGCAATGCATAAAGTTTTGAAACACCACTCCAGAGAGAACATCTTCCGTTCTTTTCTTCCAAAAGGCAGCAAGAAACTTTCCAGGAACTTGGTGATACATAGCTCAGAAATGGACAAAATAAAGATCATAAAAGAACATAAAGATGATTTCAAGATTATTTGTCTCTGAGTTTATGGCTGCATGTTGGCTTGAACAAGTCTGCACTTTAGTAAAAGGGACTCTTTCTGCTTTTACTCCCTGCCTTCATGTAAAATACTTTTTCAGGGTTAGTCCTCAGTCTACAAATTCACTGGACTCCCTGTACAATTGCACAAACATTCCACAAGTGCAAAGGAGGAACAGAGGAGGTCACAGACAGGCCCCTGGGCCAGCAGAAACACATTGTGCAAGCCAGTTACAAAACCACCTTCCGGGGCTTTCCTCTGAGAGACAGGGAAGAAGGGCAAAACTTGTTTGTTCCCCTCCTCACTCACAATAAAACGTCAGGCTTACTGTTGAAATTATTATTCCCAGCTCTTCATACATCCAGGATCAAATCCTTCTTAAGTTATATTGATGTTTTGTGACTTGGATATGCACATGGATTTTTTCCTATTAAATTACCAGATGACCACAGAAAGAAAACTGGCAACAAAGGCATTTGCATCTTTAACTGCATTGCATCAACTCTTTTCTCTTATGTCAGTAGACAGGAACTTCACCATGTATATTTAGATCTGCTGAGACTCTTTTGCATAGTCAAGCCAGGGAGGGACTTTATTCACTCTGAGCTGCTTTATCATACCTTAGATGTTTTTTTAAGATGTTACAATCCATAGCACTCCTTCCTTCTGTCAGAATGACTGCATTTAAGTAGCATTAACAGCCTCAGCCCTCTCAAAAAGAATGTGAATAATGTTTGCAGCCCAGATATTTTCAAAGGGCTGAATCTCTGTGGACCCTTTTTGGAAAGGTATTTTTCTGACTCTCTCCATTTGCTCCCACAGCAGACTAGGTAACTCCTTCAAAATCACTGTGTGATGTACAATACAAAGCCTTCATAATAATATTTTACTGTATCATGCAGGGCCCACGCAAGCTGTGTGTTAAGGAGATGAACAGTGGCATGGAAAAAAAGCAGGCCTGGCTCACAAAGAACAAAAGAAAAGCCTTTTATGCAGCAGTGGCAGCTGACAGCTTCAGAGATGGAGTCAAAAGTCTACTTCAAGTAAGCTTTTTGTTTACAGAACACACAGGAGAGCGTACATCAAAGCATCCCTTCATGTGAGACATTACTATTCGCTTGTGAAGAAGCTCTACATATATATGGGTAATGTTATAGACAGAAAGGGGGTACATGTATATTCTATCACAGATTATTTCATAAAGATCTAGTTCTGGGCTATGGAATTATGAGACAAGGCATACTGATTCTCTCCTAAATGAATGAGACACTATTATGAAAAAAGAGAAGCATCTACAGGGCAACATATCAATGACTAGGCAGCTGACACTTGATACACTTCAAATCAATTCTATTGTTTGGTATTACACAGCATATTGAATATCTGAGAATGTTCGGCATATTTTCTGCAAATAGCAAGAAGGTCATTTAAATGAAAGTCTGCAATATTTTTCTATTACCCTAAGAATGCAGGAGATAATTTCCAACAGTCTATTTAAAATGGCCATAATGAAGGCACAGAGACACTGTTTTCATTTTTCCCATCTCCTTTCCCCTCTCATATATATGAATATTTAAACACGTAGGTACTGAGGCAAAATATAGAGAAAATTCATATCATTTTCACAAAATAGACTGCTGAAAAAACAACAGTGCCAAGTGAGACAGTAGGGAGCCAACTAAAATACTGTGGGTAAGTCACCCACTGGTGTCCTACCAGGGCTCTTTGTACACTTGCTGAATGGACAGGACAATTGAGCGAGATGAAATGCTATTAATAAAGATCTCTCTGTTCTGTAAAAGCCTCACAAAGACACTTCATCTTGGGCTTATACATTGTCTCAGTAGGAGATCTTTGGGATGTTTTTGAGAACTGCTACAGTCTGATGATCTCTTCCTTTCCATTACTACATAAGCACTATTGACAAAGTCAACTACTGGACCCCAAATAATTCTCTTCCAGCAAACAGAAGGATAACCATATCATCATTATTGCAGCCTAAAGGCATCAGCAACAATTGCTGATTTCAACATAAACAGTGCTACTCAAAAAACCCACCAAGGTTCCAAGAGTTTTTACCTATTTTCTGTTTGCTAGTAGCCACAAGTTGGCAAGAGTAACAACTTTACAAGCTGGTGTTTTGTGTGTCTCCACCTAGAGGTTCCCAATACACTGAATATTTAGATTTCTATAAACACTAGGTTAGCTGAATCTAGATCTGACTTTCCTCACTTGTCCAGGTTTCAGCATCCAGAACCAGTTTTGAAGGCAAACTAATATCTTGCCAAACCATTTCTTCTTCCTATTTATGAACCATAATTTTATCTACAAAGCATGCTCAGCTGATTTTGGATCACCTTTTGAAAAGAACACAGCAAATGAAACAGCAACAGTTTCCAAATTCAAGGCAAAAAAATATTCTTAGGAGCCCATCCCTTCTCTGTGTATCTGAGATGTTTTAAAAGACTACAGACTCACTTCATCTACTGAGTATTCCAAAGATGATTAAAGCTTTGTGACATTATATCAGAGTGAACATACAAACAGTTCTTGAACTCCCTCTTGATTCCAAGTTATTGAACCATTTTAATGAGAGCATGTCAGAAGAAATGCAAATGAATGCTAATTTAGCAAAACTACACTTCTGTCATCTAAAATAATTTATAGTTGGAATGATTTAAAGCTAATCTTCTTGCATGGGTATGAGCATGAAGGGCATTTATGAAATGCAATCTAGTTGTGTCTCTCCAGAACATTACTTCAGTTATCTTTTGCCATTACTTTTCATTTACAGTAAAAGCATGTGTGTGCACCTCTCTCAAGCAGTGTTTTAATATTGGCAGGCCTCAGGCTTGGGTAGAATGAAACCAAACACCCTGGTGATTGGATTTAAGAAGGACTGGAGAAGTGCACCTGCCACTCAAGTTGAGAACTATGTGGGCATTCTACAGTAAGTCAGCTCAGTACCTCCCTTTTCACTCCTCTTAGACCAGATTAATGTAGCAGTTCCATAGAGAATTTCATGTGTAGGAACAATGCAAGGACACAGGTACAGACCTGGCCTCACACATCCTAGCTCTGTGGCTGAAGTTACTGTCCATCAAAAAAGGTTCATGGGTTCCCCACACCTTGTAGGATTTGCTTTGCAAACACCTGGCACCATCAGAGCTGATGTGGCTTGACAATGCTGAAGAAGCTGCACTGCTGTCAACAGTGCTTTTGCAGAACTGTATTTTCCCATTTTTAGTGGCCATGGGCTCAGAGAAAAACAATGCTAATGTTCATACTAAGGGAATAAGAGAACATCATGGAATTCTTCTTTTAAGCCTAAGAGACAGAGGAAGAGCTTTGCTTCAAATCTCATGTGTGCCTAAGGCTCAGCAGCTCTGTGGGTTGGGATTTAGCTAGGAAACAGTCATTTTAGAACAGGCTTCTCATAGATGCTTGCTCAAAATTCACTTGTAAAGCTGAAGCAAGTTACAGAGCAACAAAACCTACCTCAGCTTTGTTATTTCCTCAGAGAAGGGAGAAAAAAATTACCCTGTAGCAACCTAATTCCTAAAAAAGTGCAGTCTGAAAGACCCATTTCAGGAATAGCTGATGTGCTCCCATGCCCAGTTAAACCTTTTTTTAAATGAGGGGAGAGGACTACTATAAATTCATCTGGGACAATTCCTTCTGCAATTTTATCTAGTCTGTCCTCTCTGTGAACACTTTCACTGATCTTTCCAAAACAGCTTTCCTCATCAACATGCATGATGTAAAACCATGTTTTCTCTTCCTTTTCTTTCTTTCCAGTGATGCCTTTGATTTTGAGCTCGGTGTAATTATCATCAGAATTAGCCAAGGATTTGATATATCTCAGGTCCTTCAGGTTCAAGGTATGTGGTGACTTGACAGCTGAGTATCTCTGCTGGTTAGATGCACAGCATAAGGACTCTGACACTCAGAAGAGTGACCATCTGCTTTCTAGAATAGTTCCTACACTCACAACTTCTATAGTTCATCCTTGCTTGTGCAGTTTAAATCCTGTCTGAAATCCCTGCTGATCACTGGCAGTGACAGGAGGAGTCCAAGCCTCACACATTAAGGGGCTCTGCACACCAGAGAACTCAACTCCCAAAGCAGTTCCAGCACAGGCACAGGCTAAAGCAATAAAATCATATTGTGCCACAGCATCCAGTTACCCTGCTGCAGATTTCCTTCCTGCTCATGGCACATCTGCTCTCTCTGCCTACCTGATAGCTCTGGGACAGACAGGAAATGGGAAGCTGCACTTTTGGTACCACCTCTGTGCAACTCTGAGTCCCACAGAGCTCCCACCCCTACAAAAATCTGAAATCCGCAGGGAATCATCAGTTCTCTCTCCTCCCTTTCCATTCATTCTTCCTTAGCTTAGCAGCGCATATCCCAGGGGGCAAGGGCAACCCTCCCGCCATTTCGGGAGACATGCCTTGGTGTGGCCAGGGCGGAACGGTTCCCCAGGTTTCCGGCAGGGTCGCTCTCCCCCCGGCCCTGTTTGCCCGGAGCAGCCGGGTCAGGCCGGGCCGGGCCGGGCCGGGCCGGGCCGGGCGCTCCCGCTGCAGCACGGCCGGGCCCGCGGCTCTCTGCTGCCGCCTGCCGCCCGCCCGCCGCCATCGCGGCACCGGGGGAAGGAGCGAACCCCCGGAGCAAATCAGCGCAGAGGGAAAAGCGCCAGAGATTCCTTTAAGGAACAAGGGTACGTGAACACCCCCTCGCATCGGCAGCTCGATGTGCTTGGAGACCCACGGGGAAAAACTGCAGAGACTTAGAAAAGATTCCAAAATAATCAACCTTTTCTTCACCCGCGGTGATTTCTGAGAAGTATCTGCCTATCTGTGCCTCCTGCGAGTCAGAAAAGGAGTGCTCAAAATGTACAGTCATGGGAACACCTGTAAAAACACAGTGAGAACAACTCTGCAGTCTTACAAATGAGCAAATATTCTCCAAGTGTTGTGACACAAGGAGTAAGAAAGAATTAAGGGGGGAGCCTCAAATACAAAGAAATGTTTTGAAGCAGATACAGAGTCATTGTAGTGGAAAAGAATGATCATTGTGTTCTCTTATACTTGGTACAGCATTCTGTTCAATAGAAAAACTGAAATTTTAGTTTTGAGTAACCATTAAGTGTGTAGCTATCACCATGTCTAATAATCAGAAGTATGAGACTGTCATTGGTTAAAAACGAAAAGAAAGTATAATCCTTCTGTTGGCAACTGAGAGTGCTAACAGAGCTAATAATATCTGGCTAGCAAGGGTTTATTCTACTTTTTTAACACAATGTCTTAAATTAACTGACCTCATATTTAGTTAATTTATTACTCAAATAGAAGATTTCCTTACGAAAAAAGTTTTCTGCAGGCAAATGTGAATCATATTAATTAGTGCCTCACCATAATATATTCCACAATAGCACATGGTACCTTTTTCTCAGCAAAAGCATAATAATGCTTAGATCAAATTGTTCTTTTGTATTACTAAGTTTATAGAATTGATTGGCTAAATCTTACATCTTTACAACTAATGCTTTAAAAAACCCCATGAAAAATATTTCTGCATGGAGAATGATTGTATATTCAGGATCCTTATGTATTTCTGAGAATCTCAAAGTACAAACCATGAAACTTTGTTCTAAGAAAAGAGACCCACAGGCTAGAACTAAATACCTCAGCTTCCTCAGTGTAGGAAAACGGCTTTCCTTATGTCTTTTCAAATTCTTGGCTAAAGAAACCAACTAAACATCCACAAACATAACTCAATAAATAATATCTCATGTAACTATAAAATGTCATAACACTGAATTGAATTTGGAAGAGACAACCTGAGAGCAGCTGGCACACCACAGTGCTGTAGGCACAGGCATCCCAAGCTAGGGCTTCCAGAAGTGAATTTGGCTTACTTGTCCCTACTGGTTTGCAAAGAAAAAAACATTTTAAAAGAAATTTTCATACCATGAGCTTTACATTGTCTACAAAGTACCACAACAGCAATCACATCATCACCATTAGCTCAGTGAGGGATTTAATTTAAAAGACAGCAATGTCTTACCAGTTCTCTTACTTTTTCTAATATACAGAGGAATTAGAGAAGCTGGAGCAGGAGAGATTGGCACTCGAAGCCACCATTAAAGAAAATGACTTTGAAGAAGGAAAAAGGGGTATCTGTGGATTCTTCAAAAAAGCTAGCACACTGAGTATCTCAAAACACGAAACAAAGGGTAAGTTCCAAAATGACCACTTATCTCCAACCCTTCAATGCATTACACTTTTACCAATATGCAAACTAGAATTTACTCCAAGCCAAAAACTCCTGAGCCACACAGAAGCCCCTGGAACAGAACCTCCCTCGTGCAAACTATGGTGGCCAAACCCTGTAACACAGCACAGGGACATCCTCTGCTCACAGAACACACTGTCTGCAGCACAACCATTCCCCCTCACTTGCTAGATAAACTTCTCAGCTCAGCTTATCTTCACTGCTACTTGACAAAAACAGATCACGGTTATTCAAGTCTGAGGAATTCAGAACAAGTTGGTTGAGGGGGTTTTGAGGTTGTTCGTGTGTTTTTAATAGGGTGTTTTAAGCTTTTAAACAGAAAAAAAGCTTTTAAGCTTTTTTCCCTCCTCTCTAAAGAAAATAGGAACATATGCACCAATATGCAGGGAACAAGCATTCTTACTTAATATACACACACAACCTTAGTACACAGCTGAAAAACAGGTAAAAATAGCACTGCTCTATAGGCTAAGCATAATTTCATAAGAATGCACAAGTGAAGGTGGTAAAAAGTACTGAAAGTACATACACAGCATACTGTCAAATAACTAACACATTGATGTGTAGGTGATGAAGTCAATATTACATTTCAGATCTAGTGAAATGATACAGACCCAATTTAAGGTTTCATTTCACAACTGCTAGGCTGTAATGATAATGACCCACCTGAAGCCATGCTTGTACACAGACATGTATTTTGAGAGTTTGCACCTGCAGAGACAATTACATCTGGCTGTGCATGCAACTCCCAAAGGTGCCAGGAAGAGCTGCAAACTGGGAACATAAAATGCCATTATTCTTCAGCTGGCAGGCTTCAGTTGATTTTGTTTCAGTAGAACATATTTTTATGACAATTCCAAGACTGCATGCCCCTGTTTCAGCTTCCTTTTTGATTTTGTTGAGAAATGCATAAAGTAAATGCATATTACAAATTTTGGCTCTCTGTATTAGATAGATTGTGTTAGTAAATAGCCCCACCTCTCTGTTTTGTTTTTATGTTCATACTCCCCCGAGTTGTTCCATCTCCCAGCAGAGATGCTAGAACTGTAGAGGAAAGCCAATAACTGCTTTGGAACTATCCTGTACACAGTCCAGAAACACAGGAAAACCCAAACAAAGCATTTTCAGAACCTTGCAGATCAGAGTAAAACCTCTAAAGAAGCCTGTTTGTTCCACCTAGAATACTGCTCTGACACCATCTCTTTGACATCATTGAAAGAGAAGCAGTAATAAAGCCAGAGGCCTCAAAAGGTGGAATGAGAGAAGGTATTGTTAGTACAGAGTCAGGACTGCATCTTTTCAAGCCAGCCAAGCAAACAGCAAGAACCAAAATTTGTTTCCAGTTATCAGTGACCATGTCAGCAGAGGGAAACAGCCATGTGTGCTTGTGCTCTCCAACTTCCAGCTTCACCCATACTACCCCTGCACCCACTCTGCCTGTACCTTTCAGGGAGCTCTCTATTTTACAACACAGCTGAGCTTGTAAATGATGCAAAATGACACATTTACTTCTAAAATCTATCAGGTATTTCCCAGTGGCTTTTAAAGGCCCCAGTGAATTTTACATTAACTAAAAAGAGACAGAACAAATTATTAGGTAACCTTTTTCAAATGTTATTGTCTAGTGACAATGTGTTACACAAGCTTTGGTTTCTGTGTCTATGAGAAAATTAAAAGTCCAAATCATCTACTCTGTACCTTTTTTTCAGATTTAAAGGATAGAAATTATGTCAGAAACAGTTCATTTTCCTGAAGCTTTCCCTCCATTTGGCTCCCTAAAGCTACTTATTGCCTCACTTATCAGACATCCTTCCACATTTTTTTCTTTCTCATTACAGAGAGCACCATTAACACCATACAGTCAATGCATGTGGGTGAATTCAATCAGAGGCTGCTAGAAGCCAGCACTCAATTTAAAAAGAAGCAAGGAAAAGGTACAATTGACATTTGGTGGCTGTTCGATGATGGAGGTAAGGAATTTGAGTAAGAATCACAGGGAGAGAGATTCCTCTGTTACCAAATATAAAAACCAGACTTGGGAAGTTGCATAAAACTGCTTTTTATTAAGCTAACATAATAAATTTTCTGTCAGGATTAAATGTTTTAAAATTAAATTACATCCAACACTGCTTAAGATGGAATTTTTACCATACAATGCACTAATTTGACACTCCTCCAATTTTCTGTGTTCTTCCAGGTCTAACAATCCTGATTCCTTACATTCTAACTATCAGGAAGAAGTGGAAGAATTGTAAATTAAGGATCTTCACTGGAGGAAAAGTCAATAGGATTGAAGAGGAAAAACTAGTGTAAATATAACTTTATTTGTCTCACTTGCTTAAAGAATTAGAATTGTTGCTGAATATAATGCATATACAGCAGGAAGGTGAGAAATTTTCAGCACAACTGATTTGTTGTACTGTGGGCAGCATGAAAAAAAAAATTACTTGATTGAAAGGTGTTGCACTTATGGCAGAGCCCTTAAGGCTCTGCAAATGGTGATTACCAAAGGAAACTCACATCCAGCACTTTTTCCCATTAATAGCTCACATTCCCTTCTCTGAGAAGAGCAGTCTGCACTCTGTAATGAGAATATAATTACTTTTATGGGATTTACATGAGACTGTCCAGGTAACAGGAAGTAAAATTGCACATGAAGGTCTCACGTGCAAATAGCATAGACAGATAACTCACATAAATGTGATTTACTGTGGTAAAATATAAAGAAGTTAAAGAGCAAGTTAATCAACTTTAAGGCCAAGTTGATTTTACTCAGTGTTTTAAAGAAAGTCTAGATTTCATAATCATCATTTCATAATCATTTGCCTTTGAGCAAATGAAAGGTACTAATACAAATTTATTTTTATCACCACTGCATGTAGGACCTTTCCTGCCTTCCTAAGCACTTCACACATTACAGCACAGCCATTTCAGCACCAGTGGAAGCAGCTCAGCTTGGGATGAAAGTCAGTGACTGCTTAACAAAGAGCAAAAGCAGCATGTAGAAAGTTAAAAACATCTCCAGCCAAAACTCCAGTGGCAAACAAGTGAGAGGGGTACAAGAACAGGAGTCAGAATGAGCAGCTTCACCAGGATTACAACACAGTGCCTTGGAAAGGCAGCTGCCACAGGATGTTCCCCTAAAGCAAAAGGGAACACATAGACCGAACTTTACTCACTCTGGTTCCCTCAGTTTTAAACAGTACCCTAAAATTAATGCACCTCTGCAAAAGACATTTACAAGTGTTTGTACAAACTATCCTTATAACTGGGTAAAAAAGCCCTAGAGCTGTTCAAGGACCCACTGGGAAGTGTTCTCTGCCCCCTGTCCAGAGTCTGCCCAGTGTTGGCTGCTCAGGACAGCAAGCAGGCTCCTGAAGCCCCACGTCACCTGATTTTGCTGGAAGCAGGAAGTTGTGACACCAAATGGGATTTGTCAAAACATGACAGTTTCCACAGAGGCAGCTCTGACACCGGCCTACCCTGCTTGTCCCATAAAGGCCAGAGTAACCAGCATGATCAGGACAGCTGGCAAAGACCCAGCTTGTCCCCAAGAAAACATTATGTGTGTGTAGAGGTACCTAAACACCAGCATTCCTCAGGACATGGCCTACCTGCCACATGCAAAAGCCTTCACAGAGACAAATCTGGGCTGGGTAATTCCTCCATTCCCCAGGTAGATCTAATACTAAATCATCCAAGTACAATTTCAGCCATGTATTTTGAATTCAGAATTTTACTAACATGCAATTGCCCAAATATTAAAACCTTTTCACAGAAGTTGAGATTTTGCTCTTTAATGTGCTCAAAACAGGGATTGCCACCAGGGACATCACGATTTATACAAGCTGTATGTTCTTTTTATACATACACATTAAAAGAAAGAGTAAACTCTCAGGTTATAAACAAATATGTATTTCTACCGTGGTTTGCTCCTAGGAACTCTCTGACCTTTTCAAAATCCAAAGCTAGATATTCTACCAGAAATAGAAACAAAAAAAGGAGGTGGGAGAAGGAGGTGTGGGGAAGAACCACAAGATCCCAACCATGGTTCAAACAAGGGCAAAACTGACCTAATTAAACCTCTCTATCCTCAACACAAACACACACAAAACCTATAAACTATTCCTTCTGCCAAGGAAAGGCAGAAAAGCAAATTATTTTTTTATGAACATGTGTAAAGACAACATGTGAGTAGATCAATATAAGTTTATAAATGAAAAAAATGATGATTCTTTAAGTATTGGACTTCTGGACCAAGTTTTGACCAACACATGCACTACTAGTACTGTAAAACTTCATCCACAGCATTCTGACAGTAACAGAGTAACAGAAGCCTTCTGTGAGTATTGGAGAATTCTGACCTACTGTATATTGAATATTCTTCCTTTATAACTCAGGCCTTTGGGAATACTTAAAGTACCATTGTTTTCCCAAAATGCAAACACTGTCCCCTCTGTCTGCTATTAATTTCTTCTTATTTTGTGATTTTCATCAATCATCAGTTAAATGAATTATGCTACAGCAATCACATTAATCCAGTTCTGCAATTAGAAATTGAAACACTAAAGCATTTAAAGTAATTTGTCATATAGTCAAAGATATAAAATGCAGTTGTCTAACTCATTTACAAGTGTTCTTTGATATAAGGCACTCCAAAGTACAGTGATAAAACATTCTCTCTTTTGTTTTCAGGATGGCTTCACTCCTAAGTAAATTCAGAATAAAATTTGCTGATATTAATATCATTTGTGATATCAATATAAAGCCCAACAAAGAGAGGTAAGAAGCATTACCAAATCCACTATTTAGTAGCCAGCCTTTATCTAGACTTTATTTCTTTTATGTTCAAAATTAAAAGAAAAAAAAAAAAACAAACAACAAAGCACAACACAAAATAACACTGTCACTTCATTGTAATCATTTTCTAACTATCAAGAGCAGGAAAAAGGAAAGAGTTTCTATGGACCATTGGAGACTTGACTGAAGAAATGCAACTAAAGAATATAAAGGTTTTATAACTAGATACCTAAAGTCCCCTTTCAGTGCTCTCCTGATCTCTCAAGTAAAATCTTTTAATCATATAAAGAACTGTGCAATACAAATCTTGTTTTTCCTCCAGTACAATGCAGTGATTTTACATAAATAAAAGCTATCAAAAAGAATTAATATCTGGCATTAACATAAAAAGCCACACACATTTGCTGCATCAGCACTGTCTGAACTGAACAAGTGAGCTCTATGCCAGACAGACCATTGTATCTCTCTTCCAGCTGGCACCCCATCTATTTAATGAATAATAAGAGGATTATCACTATTTTACATACTGAAACAGACAGTGAGGATGTTGACAAACAATGACAGCTTAGCAATAGCAACACTAAATATTGCATATCACAGCCTTTAACCCATCTCTTGGCTTCCTGGCCATACAGCCAAGGCCAGCCTGTGCCCAGTCTGCCACTTCACAAAAAGGCCTGTCAGCACCAAGTGCTCTGAGAAATACTCAGACTCACATCCATACAAAAGAAACTCCCTGAGGTCTCTGTGAATTTTCAACAATGGGCAAGCAAGGAAGTACTGAAGGACAATAAGGTTCTCCAGATGAAAACATTCAAAAGTTCAAGAAACAACTTGAAATTTAGAGAGAAAATCTGAACACAGTTCTGAGTCCACATATAGCAAAAAACCCTACAGTGTTTCCTTCAGCCCCTTGTAACAGACAATTTGTATCACCTGTTTATCCATTGTATTAAAACCATATCAGTGAGATGATTGGTCCAGCTAGTGCTGAAACAATAATAAAATGTTCAGTATTCATGAGAAGACCACATTCATTGTTAATATTAGCAACCAACATACGCAGTTTGCAGTTACTGTAAAACTCATTTCAGTATTTTTGCCAGAACCAGGACAACGCAGAAAATTCTCTGCTAAATGCAGTGTTTAATTATCCTCAAATAACCTTTTAATTATTCTCAAATAACCCAAACATACAGAAGTGGCACAGCTATAACTTGGGGCACAGTGTAGCAGAGAACAGTTAAAGATTTTGCATGTTTTTCAGCTATAATTATTATCAGTGAGCCCCGTCATCCACAGTGACTGTGAAATAAATTAGTGAGTTCATACCCTGCAGCAAGGCCTCCTTTGTAATCCCTGTTTCAGCTGGAAATTCTTTGAAGAGATGATTGAACCATATCGCCTCCATGAAAGCTGCAAAGATATGACAACTGCTGAGAAATTAAAGCGAGAGACACCATGGAAAATTACAGATGCAGAGCTGGAAGCATTCAAGGAGAAGGTAAAGCCTCACCTACTTTTTTACATATCTACCTTCTCTGACCCTCCAGATGTCTGAAGCGATTCGTAAGAAAAAGTGAAACAGCAGATATGGCATTAAAAACACGACATGTACAAACCTGTATTTGATATTTACAGATTGGATTTATATTGTAAACACTGCAGAGGTGTGTTATGATTGCATTATTGAGCTCTCTCAGACCTTGGCATGTTTACACAGTATTTTACAGGCTGATGAGAAGCTCTGCCCACATCAAAGCCAGCCAGATGAAAACCACCTCTGAACCAGAAGCCACATAGTTACTGCACTGAGCCTGAGCTAATTGGGTCTGCTGAGGTTTATTAAATGGCTCCACTGTTTTGGAGCTTGAATCTCTTAAAGGGTGCAGTTCTAAACATTCACCACTTTGGGCCACTTAGAACTGAATCCAGACACTACAACTAAGCTAGAAATTTCTCCGAAGGCAGGGTTGAGCATGAATTCTTACCTCAATGGCAGAGTGAAGACTAAACCAGTCTACCATGCAGAAGCTCTCCTGCAGTGCAGAGGAACTTCAAGGCTGATGCTGGCTGATCCATTGGGTGAATTACAGCCCACTCTGCTCTTTACATTTGTTAGAAAAATACCTTTTTACCAATGAACCACCAGGATTCTTCAGGCCAGTGACAAAAGGATGCAAACTCCTTCACCCGTAAGAGACAAGTTCTCCTGTAACTCACAGAGAATTAATCCAGCAATTTTAGTTATGGTTCCTGTGGAATTAACCTGAGTACACTGGGAGTTTAGTTATCTCTACTTTATGATGCTGGTAACTTCCTCAACAGAGCAAGGATTGCAACTCTGAGCTCAGAGCTGCCAGAAGTCACAGCCTGGCATATTAACATAAGGAGAAATCAATGATGATTTAAGATAACACACTGCACTACTGGCTGGCTGCAGCAGCTGGGAAGCAGACTGACTGCTCATGGAGCTGATAATCAGCATAAGGTTATATAGTCAGCTATGGGCAGAAAACCTCAGAATTATTTTCACCTTAAACTATCAAAAAGTGAGAGTCAGAGCCCTTAAAACACCTCAGTACAAAAGGTAACAGGAATATAATCACAGACACTCACACACAGAACTAATGAGGATACAGCAGGAAGAAAAATACGTGATTAAGCTTGGTCCTGTCTAGGTCACTAATTAAGGAACCAGAAAAATTCCTCAAAAGTTGAAGAGAGTCAGCCATATTAAAATACCAAATTACTCTGTAAAACAAGAACAGCAACAAAAAGTTTAGCTTACGCATCTGGAAAGACATGCCTCTTATCTTCAGAAGTAGGGCAATTCTAGGAATTTTACAGAGGACATTAGAACACCTTTACAATTTAACAGATAAAAAGCTGGCAGCACAGATAAAGGGTGATGTTATAGGATGATTCTCATGAGGGAACAGCTGGCTACATTATGAGAGTTCTTACCTATATAGTATGTACAAGAACAGTGACATTTCTGTATAGAAGGAAAATTTAAGATCTGAATGGAGAAAAATCTGCTTTTTACTTTCTCTAGGGAAAGAGAAAATAATTTAGAAAATCAGTTAAGATACATCTATCTTACATAAACCTGCCCTGGTCTCTTGTTACCTGTGACTTGTGGTTAAGCCATAAAAATATTGAGGGCTTGAGCTCATAAAGTAAGTTCAGTACAAAAATAATCCCTATCCCCAGGAAACCTTACACAGGAGTGAACCATTAGAGTGGCCCTAATATAACTACACCAATCAAAAAGTGTGGCTTAGCCTCATATTTTGCCATGGTTGAGACTGTGGACCCCAGAGCAGACCTGGCTTCCAGTGCTGCCAAAGCAGCAGCAGAAAATCTTCAGGCAAGGGGGAGTGCAGAAATCCCAAAGGCACCAGAGCTGAGGATCACTGACCTGACTGATATTTTTCTTTTCCTGGTGTGTTTAACCAGAGTTACCGCCAAGTCCGTCTGAACGAGCTCTTACAGGAGCACTCGAGAGCAGCCAACCTCATTGTCCTGTGAGTGTCAACACTTGTGATTCTAAGAATAATGTGGAATGGGATTCTGGACTGGAGCTACAGAAACCCTTGTGCTAATTCACTGAGCACAAAAGTGATCTTTTAAGTACCTTCTGGAGGACTTGCATCTGGACTGATGCTTCTCTGGGACTGCACTGAATGTGAATCCTTCCTGGTGATGAAGCAATTGTATAAAGGAAAGGAGGCCACCAATAAAATTACCCAAAAAGGCCCTTTCCAGAATCGATTTTAATTCACACACACATTTTTTGTGCACAGCTTCAATAAATTAGCTTGCACTTGTGATGCACAGATAAACCTCTACAGTTCTATTAATTCAGTCTCAAAAATGGGGTGGTCATATAGTGCTTACCACAAATTGACCGTATTTTAAAACTCCCATCTCACAGTAACTGCAGATCAGAAAACTGACTGATGGACTGCAAAACTGTGCATGTGCTGCATTTTTATCCTTTTTAAAAAATCATACTATTTGTGAGTTTTATAACCCCAAAAATAGTCTTTACCAGTTTAAGGCTACAATCAAAAGCAGTAATATCCAGTACAATCAGGTGAGCAAGGGTTTGTTTTCACATCCTAAGGCCTTAATTTGCAATCTTTTAGAGTAATTCTATCAGAGTTGTATATGAACAGTGATATTTTCTGTTTAGTATTCAATGAGAAGCCTGGGCTACCCCTGCCTTCATAATGATAATTTTATTTTTCCCTCTGCCCAAACAGGAGCCTCCCTGTGGCAAGAAAAGGAGCAGTGTCTGATTACCTGTACATGGCTTGGCTAGAAATTCTCTCCAAGAACCTTCCTCCAGTCTTAATGGTCAGAGGCAACCACAAAAATGTACTGACTTTCTATTCTTAGAAAAACAGCAGTGCCTGGAACATGCCTTGCTTGATTCCAACAGCTACATTTTTAATGGCAATGGTTCATCAAAGACACACTCATTTAACAGAAATCTAAAATTTTCATAATTGACAGGGTTTTTTTATAAATCCAAAGCAAAGAATTAGAAAAAAAAATGTAAATGGTCCCTGCTGGTGCTACACTCCAGTACAGGCAAAAGAAGGAAAATCTACCTAGATGTCATTTAAGACAGCAAATATTTTGAGCACACAAAGAAGAAATTCTTCTGATTTTATAAAGTATTGAAAAAGTCTTTGATATTTATCATAGAAAACAAAACCTAACTGTGATAAAATAGAAAGGATTAAATCTCTAAATAATTTTTTCAAACTGCACTATCATAGTTGCTAATGGGCACACAGTAGGATTCAAACGAAATGCACCAACTTGTGAGACAAAAACCTGTATGGCATCCATCAGGTGTAAGCCATGAACTGATAGAAGAATGCAAGTAGAACATATGCAATGACTGATTGTAATATTGCCAAATTAGGATCTGCCTACAGCAGATGCTTTTACCTAAAATGTTTTGCTAATTTAAATGAATTAAACGCTTCTAATTTAGTCACAAAAAATTGGATGCATAAAAATATGGACTTTATTACAAGACTTGATAATGCATTTTCAAGCTCTGACATGCAATAGAATATGTGATTGAAATAATTAAATATTGTAAGTAAATGTCACCAAAAAATTAGTAAAACACTAAATATTCTGACAATTTTTGCTATGAATTTTAGGGTTAATATAATCTGATATTATACATTGGGATAATATGTACAGTGATTTATGTGATTAGAAAACAAAAACTCATTAGCTGAGTTGAATGCCTTACTTTTGATTTATATAAAAGATTTCTCTCTTTTTTGACTTTCTAAATAATATTAATTACACACTAACTTCAAATAAAAGCAATTCATTAAGTTGTGTAATTTTTCTATTTTCTACTCTGCAATGTTATGGTACATTATAATTTCAGCTGTCAAGAAAAGCAGCTTCTCTTTTTAATGAGTAAAGCTATATCCTATGGGTAAGCACTATTTAAATTAAAGACCATCAAGGAACATTTATTTATTTATTTTCTATAGTCCTGCAACTCCTTTGCAGGGATCAACCAACATGAAACTCTCATGAAAGCCAGGGAACCCTGGATTTCACTAATTGTACATTTTAAAGCAGGCTTCAGCCTCCATCTTGCTTGAATTATTAGAATTTGACTTGTAGTGGATTTAGCACTCCATCTCCAAAAATGACAAATATTTAATATTCATATTTTTTCTGAGTGCAACAGCAGCAATTCAGCAGAACATGGTAATGTAGCCCAGTAATCCATGCTTTATTTTCTCTATCTAGTAAAGGCAGGATATTAAATATTGATATTTTCTCATAATGTTCTTCCTTTGCCTCTCACACATTTACAGTCAGGCTGAAGGATCATTTCACAACCTAACTGCATTACACAGAAGTTTCCTCCATATACCAGCCTTCCTGCACAACTCTGAGCAGACCAAAGCTCCCATTCTGCACCTGCAAAACAAGGAGATTATTCTCATCCCTCACAGTGATGTCAGCAGTGATACTGGAGCTGTTGCATGCTGCCAGCTCCTTGTGGAATTGTAGTGGTCACCATCCTCTGCACTCACACAGATCCATCTGAATGGCACCCAGCAAAAGCCAAGCTTTTAGGGAGGCTCCGTTTAGGCTTTGTGGCTTTCTTACCACACAAGGACCTGGAGAAATTCTACACCTCTGTTAAGCCCTTTAATGATGCACATGACTGGGGACTGTTTCTTAAACAATCCCAAGTACTGTAATTCTCAACCTGCAGGGAACATGGACCCAAACTGTGCTGGGGGACCCTAAACAGGTCCAAAAAGAGAATGAGCACAAAATAAACCAGCAACGGCACTCTCAAAACTCCTCACACTTCTCTCTCACAAACACACTGCTGTGGGCATTGCAAAAATAAGTCCCAAGAGACACCTTTCTAAATAAATAGTCATCAAAAACTAAGTGCTGACATACACATTTCTATAAAATTTCTTGCTTGCACTAGAGTGACTAATTAAAAGATGTCCCACACAACACTGTAATGGGACAAACTCAGGATGCAACAGCACTTGACTACCTGAAAGTGTTATTTCCACAAATTCACAAGTAATTTAAACAAAGTATTTTCCTGGCAGCTTCTACTCTGTTCCTCACCATGATTTCTGAATGCTTCTAGACCAATTTGGAGAGTATACTAATTATGAACTACCTTAAATTGCAACTTAGATGGCAAAATTTTGTTAGTCCACCTACCTCATTTCCAACTCCATAAGAGACAGTCCTGTTGCAGTTGAGACAGCCACAACACACAGAGTAACACCATCCAACTTCTGAGGGCTTCAAGCTCTGCCCTTCTTGTTCTTTAGCCCAACTTTTATCCCCTCCTGTTGATGCCCTGCACCTGTGTGCCCTCTGTTCCTGTGTGGTTGGTCAGTGCCCCTGGGCACTCCATGGCTCAGTGCTGTCAGTGCTGCTCACAGCTGTGCCCACTGGGGATGAGGCTGGGCCAGCCCCACTCCCCATCACCACAAACTGTGTGCCTACACAATTCTTTATGTAAGTTATGCATAAAACAACTGCTGAATTTTAATCATCAAGTTAGTAACTAAACTAACTACATGTTTGACATCTCTAGGAAAAAATACAGCTCCAATGCTGTCTAGCACATTTTTAGCTTATATCACACTACCAATTCCACAAGTTTATATCATTTAGGCTGGATTTGGTCAGTCACAACAAAAGCAAGCATGGGTAAAGTGACCAGGGACATTTATGCATGAAAATTCCATTGCTATGAAGCAAGGACAAAGAATATTTTGAATTTTGTTCAAAAGCCTAGGCATCCTGCACAGCTAAGCTTGTGCCTAAGGGCCTGTTAAAATGATCCACTATTGTTCCTCTCATCAGTGAATCTTACCTTTCCCTCGTAATGTCAGTGGAGCTCCAACAGGTATCACAGAAGGCATCTCATCATAGTTCAGGGACTGCACTTTCCTTAAATCTTCTTACAACCACTGGCAACCTGCCCATCTTGATCACCCCTAAAGCACAGTCCAGATTATGCTGTCCAGAACAGTATTCTTCCAATGTTTTTTCACTAGATCACAACAGAGATTCTATTTCAAGGGATTGTTTCATTATTTTATTTTTAAATCAGCTATCCAACCGTGCAAGTAGAAAAGCTACCTAACCAAAAAGGCACTGAGTTGTGAGGATTAACAACTATAACTACTCTGCAAAAAGCATGTTGTTATCCTACTTCACACTTGAAGGAGTTTCCACTCAATCTTCATCAGCACAAACTACAAAGCTCCAGCCACCAGCATAGGAAATTTCATCAGTCTTAAACCTCAGCAGTTTTCATTACATCTTTGAAAAGTCCTACCAAAAGCTTTCCTGACTGAGCAATACTAATACCCAGAAAACTTGAACATTTCTCATTTTTTTCTCTCTTTTTCTCTAATTCCATGTTGGATTTCAAGATCTTTTCAGCAAAAGCAGTTTCAGCACCTGATCAGTAGTTTACAAGCCAGAGACATCAGCAGGTAACAGGAATCTGCACTGCAGTTGTCCATACAGGGCAAACAGCTCCAAGCAGTGTTAGCTACTACTGACTCATCTAACTCCCCTTAGCTGTTTGTCAGCTCCCCTCAGGCAGAGGGAAGACCTGACCTGCCAGCAAAGCTGTGGGGACAGATTGTGAGTAACCCTCAGGATTTTCAGCTTCAATTTCAGGGGTCTCCCTCAAGCTTCCTCCTCTGGTGGTTTGGTGTCATTGGACTTCAAGGAAGTGTGTGTGGATCAAAGATCCTGCTCCATCTTCCTTGTTACCTCTCCAGCTCTTGGCAGCAGAGCAAAACCCTTCAGTGCTGCAGCTCTTTGCTACATGAGTGACTCATCCCTCGAGTTACAGATGAGGAAAGTAAAGGTTTGCAAGTGTTGTGCTTCAGCAGAGGTCAGGCCACTGCTCAAACATCTCTTCATGCTGGTGCCCAGGGCACAGCCCCCTGGCAGCTGTGCAGGCCAGCACTGCTGAGGGAACACCTCACACTGGCCTTGACTCTGCAAGGAAAATGGCAACAAACAAATACAGCGAGCTGCAGCCCACATTCTCCACAAACAAGTGCCATAACCCACAATCATGCCATTGGCTGGAATTTCATCAGAGGAAATTAAGTTTCAAACAAAATCAAACTCAGGTTGTCTGGAACAGAGTAAAAAGCAATGGCAAAATTCCACAACCCCCATGCTGAGCTGCAAACATGCAATCAAAAATAGAGTTTCATTACAAACAGACAACATCATAACAGCCTTTTTAAATTACAAACCTTCATCACTGGGAGAGACAGCTGTGCTAAGTAAGAATGGGGTGGGAAGTCACTCTTTTAAAGCCAGGGTTTCCTTCTAATAAAAATCCTCATTTTAACACCAAAACTTCAATGGGGAGAATTTTGTGGCTATTACCCCAAAAGAGGCTCTGTTTCTGTGCACAACAAAGCAGCCTCCACTCCTGCTCTCAGTCCAGGCAAAAAGGCAAATGATTTCAGTTTATCTCAGGATTGTTTTCCAAAGGCAGGAGGAAATAACCAATGGACAGCAGCACTAATCAGCCATCAGGAATGCAGGCAGGTTTACTGACTCTACAGAGCAAGCAACACATTCCCAGAACCAAGGTAAACTTGGTTTTAGACCTCCAGCATAAGGTTGGGGGGGTTCCCTTTATAAAGATCTGCGAAAAAAACAAGTGTGACTCAGCTGAGTCCTTTCCTCTCTATTATTCATGGGCTTCCAGGCTACCTCAAGCAGAGTTTAGAACCCAGCCTGCTTCCCCAAGTCTGGCCACTCATAAAAATGGTCCTTTTCTACACTATAATGCAGGATGCAGTCATAAACTCCTGCTTGTATAA